AAATTAGTCCTCATTGAGCCCTAAACTGATTAAAAAAGATCATGTCTTTTTTTTTTCCAGGATAAGCTAATCATTCAGTATTTTTGTTCTTAACTATATGTTTTTTCTTCATGATTATATGAATCTCCATGCTATCTAATGTCTTTAGGAATAAATACAGAAAATTGGTGTTTTTCCAAAGCAAATTGGGATCGAATTTCAGAATTTGCACACCCTTTTTGTTCTTGGTAACGTATAACTTGCAGAATGACTAGATTATATTTGCCACTTATTTAGGTATGACATCGGAGACAACATCCAAGTCCATGCAGGGTGGTTTAGGTTTTTTGAGGTTTCTTAGATGCATGCTATTAGAAATTATAATTTACATATAGACATTTAAGAGAGTAAGATTGAACCCTGTGTTTTTAATATCCATGGGAAGCATTTACCTGTGATTAGTTGGTGATTTGGTCTGAATCCATATAATAAAGCATTTAAGTTTTTACTAGTTTGAGCATTGGCTCAATTTCTGAGAGCCTATCTTCTGCTTAATGCAATAGTTTGAAGCAACTGCATTTATGCTGCATATGCGTTTTGAAATTATAAATATGTGATATTTCTTCAGATTAAGCTGCAAGATGATTTCCTTGCACTCCTTGCCATGAATCATGGCTTGTCGTTTGATCTCTACTAACCAAATTTCGTCAGTTTTTCAAGCTTTATCGGTAGAAAGGCCCATCTAGCGGTTGAGAGTTGAGATTCAACCAATCAAAGCAAACTTTTATCAAGCATATAACATGTGGGAATGCTTTTGATGGTCAATTGCTAGCAAAACTTGAGTTTATCTTTTATGCAACTTTCTACATGAACACGATGAGACCAGGGTGGCTACAATGAGGAAGTCTAATCTGCATAAATAAGTATTAGAAGGACTTGAATTAATGGAAGGTGAATGTTGCCCGATCTACAATGGGTGCCTAATTTTGATGAATTAGTTAAATGTAGCCAGATCTAGATTCAAACAAATGAGATGATCAGCTAATGCACACTATAATTGATGGAAGGTAAACAGGGTCCTCATTGTTGCTTTGGTGCAATATATCTAGACACGGATTTGCATCTATCCACTATACTCGAGCATTATAATTCTTTGATTTTCAAGTTATGATATATATTAATCAGGTTCTGGAGGATTGTAGATATAGGGATTTGAATTTTAAACCTGTTTTGCTAGATGTGACCTTGTAAGGATGATGAAATGCACCGGTTGGATTCGAATTCTTCTTTAAGCATTTTCTCTTAATGATAAGAGGTTTTTTTTTTTTTTCCAAATATGAGGGGAGAAGCTCATCTGCTGTTAATTTATGAAACTTGGTGACATGGATATTGGGAGCCATGAGTTCTGTGGTGCCAGCTTATCTCATCCTGTTGGGCCTAAAAACAGGAACCAAGGTTGGTACCTTGGTGGACGATGGAAAGAAAGCTGGAAAATGGTGTAGACATCTAATTTGGTATGTCTGAATTAATTGAATCTGGTCCAATGAAATAAGTTAAATCCAAAAATTTGAGTTTAATTTTTTTTATTAATTAATTAATTTGTTTTTTTTAGACTTTTTTTTTTTTCAGATTAATTTTCGGTTAAGAGATAATAATCAAAATAATAAAAAAAAATGAATGAATCTTGCTGTGAATGGGGTTAGACTTAATCCTTATAAAATAAGTCTAAGGGTTAATTTGATAACTCAGAAACCTAATCGAAAAGGAAATTTGAATTTGTCAAAGACTCTGTGATTAATCCCTATAAATAGATTCATATATCACACAAAAAATATATAGAGACATGAGACAAAAGAAATCAGAACCAAAAAAAGGGGGTTCTGGGTAATAGAAACGGTTTTATATTTTTTAAGAATTTTTTTTGAATTTTTTTTGCAATTATTTATCTGAAAAATTTTTGAAAAATATAAAATTCGACCAAAATTTCGACGAATTTTTCGACTAACTTTGAATTTTTCGATCAAAATTTTTAGTTTCTGGTGGGTTTTTTCAGATTCCGATAGAATATTTAATCGGAATCTAGATTTTTTTATAGAGAGGGGAGAGAAAAAAGGGGAAGAAAGAGAGAGGGAAAGAAGGCGCTTGAAAAAAATCGAAAGCTTTTGTCTTTTATACCTTCAAAAAATGACGTCGTTTTGGTCTTATTAATCTTAGAGGATTCGCGCGTTTCGTCATCGGGTTACCCAACCCGAGAGCCAACCCGTTTTTAACCCACGTTTGACCCAAGTGCTAGTCGACCTCTGGAGTCGAGCCACATTTTCGAACTGTTTTTCTTCTTAGAGCCGAGCTGTTCCAATGTTTTTTTTTTAATATTTATTTATTTATTTATTTTTTATTATTATTGTTGTTGTTGTTGTTGTTATTTTTAAATTAGAATTACTTGGTATTCCTTAATTTTTTTAAAAAAATTTAATTTAATTTAATTTTTCTTTTTAATGATTTTTTTAAAATAAAATTTTCAAAAAAAATATTTTTGAGAAAAAGTTGAAAGTATCAATTTTTTTTTAAAATAAAATTTTAAAAAATATATATTTTTGAAGGAAAGTTGAATGTATCAATTTTCTTTGAACACAAAAATAAAAAATAGATTTTTGGAAAAAATTGAAAGTATCAATTTCCCTTGAAAATAAAAAGATTAAAAAATATATTTTTTAAAAAAAATTAAAAGTATCAATTTTTCTTAAAAATAAAATTTCTAAAATGAAAAAAGTATTTTGGGAGAAAGTTGAAAGTATCAATTTTCTTTGAAATTAAAATTTCAAAAAAAAAAATTTTGAGGAAAAGTTGAAAGTATCAATTTTTCTTGAAATTAAAATTTCAGAAAAAAAAAAATATTTTGAGAAAAAGTTGAAAGTATCAATTTTTTCTCGAAATTAAAATTTTAAGAAAAACACATTTTGAGAAAAAGTTGGAAGTACCAATTTTTCTTAAAAATAAAAATTATCAAAAAAAATATTTTAAAGAAAAGTTAAAAGTATCAATTTTTCTTATACAAAAGCAATGAGTTTTTTTTAAAAGAAAATTATTTATACCAAAAGTTGAATCATTTTTTTTATTTTTTTATTTTTTTCTTTTCTTGAAAATTTTTTAATGTTAAATAATCCGATGATGGAGTCTCTGCAAGTGAAACAGTAATTTTTTTGTATACTCTTGAGGTGAGAGAATTTTTTTAATTTTTTATCAAAAGTATTAGAGTCAATTAAGAATAATTTTTAATAATTAATTATCTGATAAATTTTTTAGACTTAATGGATAACACGAAATCAAGCTGGTACCATTCTTCAATTGGCGTTGTAAGGGTGTTATAACTTTCCTTACACGTAACCATATTCCGAAATCTTATTTTGATTAATAGACTCGATCCTATTATTTTAAGGACCCTTAAGTTTATGTGTTCCTTTAAAAGATAAATTTTTTAAGTGATCAATCACACTTAAATAAAAAAATTGATGAAGACTCCTTAAGTCAAATATCTAACTATACATTACGACAAATGAAATAGTAGTAGGTTCTTAAACTCTACAACCAGTCCAGCATTCTTAATCTGTCCTTGCTGCCCCTGCTTCATCACGGAAATGGATAAAGAACTGATCAGGAGTTCAAAAAACAGCATTACCCAGGGTCACAGATCAGGTTTTAGATACTGATGAACTGCGGAATCTTTAGTCAATCCAGGAGGAACATTTTGGGGGAACGCAGGTCAACAATTTAATCTAACATCTAATAAATCAAAGGATACAATTCAAATTTTAACCAATTAATTAATCATTGAGAATTGTGTCAATAAAACTGGCTATATGTAACCTTCACAAACCTTGTTATAAAACTGGGTTTGGCTGTCGGTTGCTTTGGTGTCATACTGGCACATGGTGTTTTTAATCTTAAATTCACATACTCCTAATAGGTGACCATTGATGAATTATTTTTGGTCTAACAATCAATTATCATACAGAATTTTATCATAATTATTGCGTTCATATCTAAACAAATATTTTATCAAATGATAACAATAATTAATTTTATTTATACAATAACTAATATAATTGTTACTATTATTTTCAATTTCATCGATCATTCAAATGAATTGAAAAAACATTGATGGACAATGCAGGATCAGTTTAAGTTTGTTTTACAAGAAAAGTAACTTAGGTGCAACAATAATTAATGTGCATTATTAAAATTATAGTAATAGGCTGTCAAACTTTATGGATATTGTTCTGTTCCCTTGGGGCATCAAATCAAATTTATGAAGATATGTATGTCATCACTTACGCAACAAAAAGGGCTGAGGCGACATAAAACTGGGTTCAATGGGACACTTAAAATCTCTTTAATCTCTGAATTAGTTTATGCAATTCAATTAAAAAATTTGCCTAATGGTCTCCCACACTCTTCCACTTATCTGGAATACAACTGCTACGAAAAACTGGCTTGTTGTCAGCTTTTCTTGTGTTCATAATTTCTTTACACAAGCATGCGCTAGAGTTTCCGGAGATCTGAAGCTATAATTTGGTTCTCAGTTTCAACCATGGCATATATACTTTGATTTCATTGTGAGAATATTAAGCAGACTACGACTTTTGTCCTGATTAATTCCTCGTATCGAGACAGGTTGAAGCACTTTGAAGACAAAAGATTGTCGAAAGACACACATCAGGATGGCAATTTTGAGAGAAACTACAGTCTACACGTGAAGCTTCTTGATCAGTAGTGGGTTTAACAAAAACATGCGAGCAAAACCAAGCATTGATCACTATGTCCAATACAAATATACTATTAATGTACAATCCATGTGCCTGCCAACGTGAAGATTGTTTGGCTATTGGAGGTGGTTTCAAGCTACACTTCAGCTCCATTGAATCATTAGTAATTAAGGGTAATTTTGGAGCTCGATTGAAAGATTCTCAATGTTATTTGCAACAGGATATATTGCAGGTAGGTATGAACTTTTGACTATATCATGCCTGCTTAGGGAAACAAGGAAAAGTAAAAAAGAAAATGGTTGCACGATGATCACATGATTAGAGCTCTATGTCAAAATGCTAATTGCTAACAAATTAACTAAAGGAATTAATCTAGCAATTTTTAGGATCCCATCCAATAAAATGCGAATCATGGGATTTGTTCTTGAGGTTTGAACATCTTGAGATCTCCCACACCTTAATTTCTCCATCTAAACTTCCACTACAGATTGAAAAGATCTCCTCAAACACACCTCTGGCAACTGCTACCAACGACTTCACAGGTTTTTCATGTCCTTCGAGAACTATAGTACAATGGAACCCACCCTCCATCCCTCGTTGCCAAACCTTCAGCGTACGATCAGATGATCCACTCACAAGCAAATCCCCTACATTGATTAAGCACAATATAGCCCCCGAATGACCCCACAATGATTCTACAAATCCCACCGGATGATTTCCATCATTATTGCCTCCTTTCTCCCACACCATGATTGAACGATCGCAACCTCCTGAAAACAACACCGATCCCTCACTGTTCAAGGCAAGCGCATTAACAGTAGATTTATGCTTGTTTAGAGTTGCCACCAAGCTATGCCGTCTCTCATTATCAGCCCTCTCCCAAATTCTAATCAACCCATCAGCAGATCCCGTGTAAACAGTTCCATTATCCGAAACAACCAAAGTGTTCACAGCGTCGTCATGAGCTTTCACAGACTCTAAACAACGTTGGTTCTTTACGTTCCATATCTTGAAACTTTTGTCCCATGAAACCGAATACATTAGCCCTTTTTCGTCATTTATAACCAAACGCGAAACTGTATCCCAGTGTTCAATCCAAAGCTTCTTCTTGTGACGTCTAACGTTAACGTAGTTCTTTGGAAATATGAAATGGAGGAACCAGTCTTTAACAGTAGGGAGAGTGGAGAGAAGCTGGTGTTTTCTGGAAGGGGTACTGATTTTCCAGATTCTGATCTTGCCATCTTGATGAGCAGTGAAGATTTTGGTGTTGTTGAATGCAATGGATTTGACGAACCCGGAAGTGGGATCATCGTTAAAAGAATCGATATGGGAGTGGTTAGATAAATCAAAGACGCTGATTTCGTTGATGGCGGCGGCGTAGAGGAGGTTATCCTGGACTGCTAGGCAGCTGATATGGGGGCTCAGGGTTTTGAGGGTGGCGACGCAACGATGTTTCAGTGTCTGAACGGGGAACATATTATGCAATTGGTCAGACATGTTTTTCTGATGAAGTTATTGAAAGGAAGTAGTGCATGGATATATACAAGCGAGAGTGTGGTCAGAAGACGCATGAAGAATGTTGATTTGGAGATTGGATCTATTCAGTCTGAAAATGAGGGCTACAGCCGTCCAAGGAAACTTGATTTGGCATGGTCTACATATCTTCCGTGGTCCCCGAAGTAGGTGATCACATAGGTGATTACATAGGTCACCCTCTAACTGTACATGCACCAACCTTTTTTATTCTTCTATTAGGTTTTGGTTTTTGAAAAATTAAGCATGTTAGGGTTTGTTACATCCAACATAAACAAATTTTTTTGGGCTAAAATACTAAAAAGTCTCCGAATTTTATCATTTTATTTAAATAAATTTTTATATTTTATTGTACCTAAATAAATTTTTATTTTTTAATTTAAATCTTCATTTAAAACTAAATATCGATTTATTTTAAGGCTTTATTTAAGTGTAAATTAAAAATTAAGGATTTATTTGTATATAAATTAAAAATTTAGAATTTATTTTAATACAAATTAGAAGTCAACTTACTAGAGTGCAATTAAAATATAGAGACTTATCTAAGTAAAATAATAAAGTTCATGAGCTTTTTATAATTTTAACTTTTTCTAAGAAAAAAACAAAGCTAAGCATATATTAGGTTAGGGAGAAAGGTTTGTTAAAGAATGTTGTGTCAGTTAAGATGATATTTTTAAAAATATTGTAATCAATTAATGTATTATCTTGCAGTAAATTTCATAAAAATATTACTCAAAATTATAAATATATAATTTTAAAATAATATAGTAATCAATTTTAATTAATATTTATATAGACACATGTTTATCCAAACCCTCATATTATTTTATGAACTTAAAGTTCATTAAAGCAATATTAGATTGCTTTTTTAAGTTGTTAGTGCAATCAAATGATATGGTTTGCCATTATTTTTTTAAAGATAGTAACATGAGAATAAAAATTATAAGTGTTAAAATTTGAATTTCAAATTTATTGAATATCATTTTTTAAACGTAATTATATTAATCAACTAAATTAAATCTCGAGTTCATATAAAATATTGGATTTTGGTTATGGGCGTGGGGTTTGTTAAAAAGTGTCATTTTTTAGTTTGTGGAACATGGTATGAGCACATGTTCATGAATCAAGCACATGACTTACAAATTAATTCAAAGGATCTTACTTTCCAAAGGCTCTCCTCAAGTATTAATTGACAAGAAAAAAAAAAAAAAAGAACTCTTCTCCTTACCAAATGAATTATTTTTTGTTGCAAATAATTGTTCTACAAAAGGTATTTGCAACAACCTTGATCACAAACTTTTGTTGCAAAAAATAGTTTACAACACCAATTGCAGCATTAAACTTTTTATGTTGCATTGCAATGCAATAATGTGGTAAAAAGCATTAGTAACAATTATATATATATTTTGTTATAAAATTTAACATGCCTTTACTGGCCTATTGCAACATAATACTAGTTTTGCTCCAAAAAAAAAAATATTTTGCAACATTTATATAAATCAGTCAAAAAAATTTTCTTTCTAAAATTAAAAATTTCTGTAGTACATAAATTCATGTATGTGAATTAATACATATCAATGATAAATCATTCCAATTAATGTAATAACAAATAATGCTAATCACATTTGTTAAGATGCATAAAGAAAATTTTCTCTATTATTTTATTAGCTAAGGCCTTGAAACTTTGAGGTACTTAATTATAATTTTTAATTGTTGAGGGAAGAAATATCAAAAAAAAAACGAAATTGTTGATGGGGGGCTTGGACCGCGGACCTTTTTTCTCGCACCAGGTGCTGGGGGCCTAAGTTCAAAGCCTGGCTTGAGTTAGGGCCCAGGGGTGGTCCACTTTTAAAAAGACTTAGTTAATTTGAATTAATAATTTTCTTTCTTTTTTTAATTTATAATTTATTAATTTTTCTAAATAAATTAAATCTATGTGTGTAACTAAAATATTTAATCTATATGTAACGGAAAATAAATGAACTAAATAATATGATAAACAAATTTGCAATATTTAAGAACAAATAAAACATATATAGTATTTAATATGGATGAATTACAATTTAATGAATAATTAAGTGTAACTAATGAAAAGCCTTTTTCTAACACATGTAATACTGTTCAATTGATTTTATTATTTTTGTATTTTATTTTTTGTTTTCATTTCAGTTTTTTTTATTTAAGATTATCAAAAATTGAATCTTAATCATTAAAATTAAGAGTCAAAAGCTCTATGATATTGATAAATATACAAATAATTATGCATATTAAAAACAACATTCAAATATTCATAAACATATGGAAAATATAATTTGCTATAGATAATAGATACATAATTATATATATTACAAGATTTTAAGTTACATATGTAGCTTTTACATAAATGAAACACATTTAATTTTAATATTCTACTATATGTAATTTCTCTCTTTTTTTCAAAAGAAAATATATATATATATATATTTCCTCTTGCTTTCTTACTTTTAATTTTGTTAATTTTTCCTTTTTTTTTACATTAATTTTCCCTTAATTATTTCTCCCAATTCTCCTCTTGTTTTCACTTATATATGCTAAGATGGAATTTTTTCCCAACCTGTCATTTTAAAGATATGTACAAATTTTTGTTTCTAGACATATATAATTTTTTAATAAAAGAAACTGCAGTTTAAAACTAAAAAAAAATGCAAGAATTAAAATTTGATCTCTAGTCAAATGTCAGTTACATTTATATCCATAAATAAGTGTAGGAGCTTTTTGTAACAAGTTGTAATTAGAAAGTAAATGATCTACCATTGTCTTTGCATGCCCACCAATCATGTTGAATAATGATTCAAAGCCTTCAAAAAGATTGCTTTGATGATTCATGGAGAATAGCTCTCTCTAGCTTTTGCTAAAATGTCCAAAGTGATGAACAGGAGATAACCTATAATATATAAATATAAGTAAAAATTCATTTATATCAGTGTAAGTGTCACGTTTTTTTAATTCTTAGATCAAAATTAAATAAAAAATACTTGCACGTAATCATTTTGATCCAAAAATAAAAATATATATAATACTTATTCAGATGAAAATGAATCCCTTATATAAAAATATATATCATAAATATGTATACACATTTGTCATGTGAACTCTTTTAAAGCTATTTATTATTCATAGATCTTCAACTATATCCCCTCTACAGCTCCAAATTTACTCCACTCACGTTTTATCTACCAAATTAATAAACTTCTTTCTTTTTTATGCCGAAAAAGTTGAATTGAATCCTCTAAAATTAAGCTTCATTTGTTTCTTTACTCTTCTACCATGCAAATTGCGAGGTTCATCCAACCCATGAAAGATCTTTCCTTTCTTTTAAAGAACTTGATTGGAGGTAAGATGAAGAAAGGAATCAGAAAGTTTTGCAATGGTAATGGTTCAACCTCTACTCTCAACCAACACCAGACTGACCATGGTGGTGGTGATGCAATGACTTCCTCTGACATGGTCACCCCACCATCCATTGTTGCCTCCAATGCTAGCTCGACGACCCAAAGCCCTTCAGCAACCATGGAGGAGATGATATTGAGGTTAGAGTTAGAAGAAACGCTTGCTAGAAAAACAAAGCTGAATGAATATAGTGAGATTCAAGCTGGCAATTCTGACATCGTGCGGTCTGCCAGGAATGCTTTGAGTCCGTATCCTCGCTTTTCTCTTGATGGAAAAGATGCCATGTATCGATCTTCGTTTAGAAACTATGAAAAAATGGGTGGAAGGAACTCGGTTTGCTGTGATCATGGATTGAGAGAGAGATACTGCAAGATTGAGTTCGATTTACGTTTGCCATCAACATTGGGTGGCGAAAGTGTGGTTTGGTGCAAGCCAGGGTTGGTAGCCAAGTTGATGGGTTTAGACTCCATGCCAGTGCCAGTCAGTAGCAGAAAGGATGATAAACAAAAACTTAGTTCTCTGATAAAGCGAAAAAATCTCAGGAGAAGAGCTGAAAGACATGAAATAGAGAGAAGACTAGCCATGGATATGACTCTGAGCAGTAATTATGATGATTTCAGAAGAGCGAGGATGGGTTCTTGTTCAAAGGCAAGGTACTGCGTGATGAAACCAGTTGCTGTAGAGCCAGCGAATGGTAATGGTGGATGGCCAACCCGAGGTACTCTTTAGATTATGGCACATAGCCATGGACACTATTTGTTAACAATTTTGCACTTTGTTACCTTGTACTATGTTTGTTTGTATCGTTTGTAATACTAATAAAATATAAAAATTTTCATATTATAATTTATGTTAATATTAAATACAAAACTTATTTTTTATTTTTATCAAATTTTATATAATTTTTTATTAAAATTTTAAATTATATTATTTTTTTATCGTATCGTCATATTATTTAAAATTATTGAGTCTATTGAAAAGAAAATCAACGTGCTAATTGCATACAAACAATTGTTTTCTTCATATATCCATAAAATTTCATGTTATTGAAAAAGATATGATTAGAAGAATGAACTGGTCTCTTGATGCATTCAAGATTAATAGTTTTCTTGCTTAATTTTGAGTAAGAGTTTGGATATATATGCAAACCACAAATATTAGGGATTTTTTTTTTTTTTACAAGGGGATAGAGTCCTATGTTAAGGGAGAATGAGGGAGGTTGAGTCGAACTTCAATCTTATATTTTCTTAAGATTTTTTTGATCACTAAATCAAAAAATTGAAGATCACAAATGCTAGGGTTTAAACAATTATCAAAGCATTCATTATCATTTAGATGAACAGTAACTTTGACTTTCCTATAATTGTGGTAAAAAAAATATTAATATTATGGTTGAATAGCTATTAATTAATAATAAAAAAGTTTTTATTAACTTTCAATTTTTTTTCCTTCCATCCAAACAAACATGTACAATAACATCAATCAATTAATTATTAGAACCCCTTTTATCTTTAGGTTAATCGATTCAAATTTAAGTTAATTTGATTTTAATTGTTAATTTTTTAATTAAATCAAATCAATTGAGTTCGAATTAAAATTGAATAAACAAATTTTTTGTATTCAATCAACTTTTATCTTAGATTAAGAATTTAAAATAAAAAATCAAACAAACATATTAGAGCCGTGGTGGGTTAAATTTTAAGGCCCTAAAGGCCACCGATTAGATTAAACCACAAAAAATTTAATTCCTTACCAATATTTGGCTGTTTAATTTAATGTGTGATTAATATCATCTTACAATCTGAACCGTCCACGTGAATTTATTTCATTTTTTTATTTTATTTTTTTTATTTTGGTTGTGATCATGGTACAAAATTGGGTGATAATTTTTCAAGAGAAAATGGTCCCCTCCTCACATAAGCCAAAACATTGCTTCAACTGGAAATCTTAGAGCCAGGTGTAATAAGATGGGACAACCTGGTCGTTAACGGTAATATCAATTTTAAAAGTTTTTTTGCACCTCTGTCCTTTCATTTCTCCATTATTGCATTTAGGGAAACAGGAAGACTTTCCCTAATTTGCTTTAACAACCTCCATTGCTCAATTTTTCCAAATTGGACCACTCATGTGACCCCCCATTAAACAACTAATTATCTCATTTTAGTGATGGTTAACAAAATAATATTAGAAATTCAAATTTTAATTCAGTTATTTTATTTAATTTTTTTAAATAAAATATTTAATAAATTGGATTTTCAAATTTTAATATTTCAATTCCTTATGTTATTTAGACAATGACGCCGTTTAATTAAAATACGTAAATTTAAATTTAAAATTTTTAAGAAAATAAATAATTTAATTTTTCTAAAAAAACTTAAATATAGTTTTATTTATTTTGAAAGAGAATAAATAGAAAGTGAAATCCTTTGTTTTTTATATTTATTTTTGTATATAAGATACAAAGGATTCATCTTTCGAAAAAAAATTATTTTTAACTATATAAAAGAAATTCGTATAACTTTTGATTTACATCTAGTTGCATTCTAATACTTTCATCAAAGATTTCATAATGAGAAATTCAAATAGTTTAAAATTTGAAATTTTAATTTAAAGATGACGAATTTGAATTTGTACAATACAATAATTAATAGATCCTTATATGAAAAAAATTATAACAATAAAATAAATTGATCGCATAAATATTATATCTATAGGCAAGATTACATAAATAAGCTTTTTTTTAATATTTTAAATTATTAAGGATTAATTTTTTATCATTATAATTAAGAACTCAATATTCTATCAAATAACACACGATTATTGATAAAAAAAAAAATTTATGTTCATCAAATGAGATTAAATTAAGTAGTCGCATAATCTAATAAATAGACCAAAAGGAAAACGAAAATTACTAATGAATAATAATTTCTTTTAAACAGATTAATTTCATCGTAACGAAAACAAAACTATTTTCTAACTGTTTGCTAAAAAGTATGCATGTCTCGTCATCATATAATATTTATGGTTCTTGAATGAAAAAATTGAAATAAAAATAAATCTCAAATAAAAAACAATATCAAATAAAAGAGTACATATGAAATAGGATGTTAATGAGTAGAGTACAAGAGGGTAACGTAGTTTTTATCTTTAAACTTTTATATTATACTTATTTTAGTATTTATATTCAAATAATATTTTAAATTTATCACTATTTTCATTTATATTTAATAGATATGTGTAATCCTTATATCCACGACTTTAAAAAATAAAAAATAAAATTTAGTTTTTAGTTTTTAAATTTTTTTATTTTTATATATTTAAGTAATTTTTTATAAATATATATTTTTTAAAAAAAATATTAATTATAAATAATCTAAAATAATAATTTACATTATTTAATAAAAAATTTATTTATTAAATATATATAAATATATATGCACATGACAAATACAAGACAAGTGTTATATTATTAATCTCTATTTTTATATTTAATAAAAATTTAAAATTATACTTATCTTCATTTTTATACCCAAAATATAATATTCATCGTTATTTTTATTCGGCTAAAAAATCAGATTTCATTAGGTACGGTAAGATTGACATTTTTACTACAAAATAATAATTTGTCTTAGCCAAAAAAAAAAAGTTTAAAGGGCCTAATTGAAAGAGTTTTAGGAACTACGAGGATTCATTAACAAAAAACCCAATCTGATAAAGAGAAGAAAAAAACTCCGCCGCATAAATTTAAGGGCAACACAGTTCAAACACGCTAAATACGATAGCTATCGTAGCACGGACATCTAATAGGTGACAGCCCGTGACTTTATCACTGCCCGCCAACTCGCTTCAGTTCCAAGTCACAGATTCACATTAACTCTCGCTGTCTGGTCTGCACTCAGCAAACACCAAAAGAAACATCCTCTGAAAAAGAAAGAACAAAAACGAGGAATGTTCATCTTCTTCTTGTTCTTCTTTTCCTTTTAAACTCTAATCCAAAAATCCAATTTTTACAGAGGAAATTGAAAAAAAAAGGTGGGAGGAACTGAAGAGAAAAGATGGGTGCGGTGACTTCATCTATGGCTGCAAAGTTTGCGTTTTTTCCACCCAACCCACCTTCATACAAGCTAGTTAAAGATGAAGCAACTGGGATTTTGCTTTTAGACCCTTTCCCTCATCGTGAAAACGTCGACGTTTGGCGTCTCCCAACTCGCCGTGGCTCCGAAATCGTTGCTGTGTACGTGAGGTACCCTATGGCCACCTCAACTCTGCTCTACTCGCATGGGAATGCGGCTGATGTTGGCCAAATGCATGAGCTTTTCATCGAACTCAGCATCCACTTAAGAGTCAATCTCATGGGGTATGTTTCACAGTATTCACTTTAGCATTTTCTTTTTCTTTTTTTTTGGCCTTTTTAGATACCCTTTTTTGCATATTTCTTTTTTTTGCATTTTCTTGATGACAATTGTACATGTGTTTATATCAGTGAATTTGGTGTGGAAATGATCTTTTTTAATTTTCATTTATATGATTGAGTTCTCCCAAGAGGGAGTTTTGGGTGGAAATTTTGGTTTTCTTCTTCATTTATATGATTGAGTTTTGTATTTTTTGTTAGTTTTGTTTTAATCTAATTGAGGATGACTGTTGCGCTAATCACTCGTTTAGTGAACTTGAGATATGCCAGTGTAGGTTATTGATAGATCAACTGAAGTCAGGGTTGGAATTCTTGTGGTGCTTGGTTTCTTGATACAGATCTGTTTTCTCAAGAATCTTCAGGTTATTCTGTTATCAAGTGTGATTCTTGTTATGGTTAGGGAACAGCCAAATAGTGGTGCAGAATGGTGGTATGTAAGGAAATTTTTTCATTATGTTTGTGCCTCGTTTTATCAATTAAATCAATGTTAGAATGCGGTAGAAGGGGAAATTGCAATTGTTCAGCCTTTCATGGTTGTTGGTACAGTCAGTTTGATGGAAAATGGTAGTTTTTATGAGCATTTATGGAGAATTTGGTGGTTGTAATTGTCATGCATGAGCTAGCAAATGTTTTCTATGAAAGTGCAAATTCAGGCATTACCTTCCTTGTGTTTATTTATTCCATGGTATTGTTATATAAGCAGTTATAATTGACTTGCAAAGTAGAAGAATATCGATCTTTCCTTTTTGTGTCAAATTGGCGGTTGTGCTTCAGCCTCCGTGAAATGCCCAATTGTAGTTGATATCTGCTATTGTCCGCAAATATTTGTCTGATTAATGTGTGAAACCAGTGTATATGACATCTTGAAATCTCGAACTCAATGCATAAATTTTTTCAGGTATGACTACTCTGGCTATGGACAATCATCAGGAAAGGTAATTGTACCATGAATCCTCTACTCTTAATATGTGACTGAATTAATTGCATCCGATAGCTCTCACTGAAGTTCATATATATACCTTTCTTCAGCCCAGTGAGCAGAATACGTATGCTGACATTGAAGCTGCATACAAGTGTCTTGAAGATAGCTACGGTGCCAAGCAAGAAAATGTCATCCTTTATGGTCAGTCTGTGGGAAGTGGTCCTACCGTGGATTTTGCTGCTCGGTTACCTCGACTAAGAGCTGTTGTTCTGCATAGTCCTATATTATCAGGATTAAGAGTCATGTATCCTGTGAAGCGCAGTTATTGGTTTGACATCTACAAGGTTAGACATGCTACTCTCTTATCTATTGAGTTCCATCAAATCTAATGTTTGATGCGTATGGTGTCTTCACCTTGTATCTTAACTTGATTTACATGGATTTGCAGAATATTGACAAAATCTCACTGGTAAAGTGTCCTGTGCTGATAATTCACGTAAGTCTCCAAAATTTCAATATTTTGCATTTGTTAATTTAATGAAATAATCATGGGAATGTTACTTACATTTTTTTTACCAGCAAAGACATTATTGCAAAAAATATGCAACTGTAAGAAAAGGATACTGGGACATGAAAATTTTGATAAATATGTTCAAGTTTTATGTCATATATAGTTAAGAAATTCATGATTTCGTAATGGTGTTGAAATTCAGGGAACGAACGATGATGTTGTTGACTGCTCTCACGGGAAGCAACTTTGGGAGCTATGCCAAGAGAAATATGAACCATTATGGGTCAAGGGAGGAAATCACTGCGATTTGGAACTCTATCCTGAGTATATTAAGCATCTCAAGAAATTTATATCAACAGTCGAGAAATCACCTTCTCGAAGAAATGGTTCTCGGAGAAGTACAGATGGTATTGAACAAACTAGGCAAAGTACTGACTACTATGAGGCTCCAAGAAGGAGTGTAGACCGCAGGGATAAACCAAGGAAAAGCACTGATAGCAGGGACAAACAAAGAAAAAGTGCTGACAGGTCAGAAAAACTGAAATGTCATGGGTATAGTAAATTTAATAACATCAACAAACTAGAAAAGCTTAGAATATCCTTAGACCAGATGGAAAGGATAGAGAGGTCACGCAGAAGTGTGGAATACCATGATAAATCCAGGAGAAGCATTGAACACCAGCTAGAAAAAGCAAGGAAGAGTGTTGATTGGTTAAGATAGAATCCGTACAGTTTAGAAGTTCCTAAAATCAGTTCGCTTGGTTTGTTCTAGTGGTAAGGAATAGATAAAGTGGAAACAAGAGAAAAGGGGGAATTGTTTTGGACTAATAAGTTATTGTTTTAGAATTTGTATTTTCCTCTTCAAAGTTATGTTGTAGGGTTTGGTATATGTTTGAGATTTCTTCTCATTGATTTTCAATGAAAGATTCTAACCTGTCTGATTTTTCTTGTGGAAAATTGAAATGAAAGCTTGTAATTAACAACTATTATTTCATTACAATGTTTAGATTTTTGTATTGTATACCATGTTTGAAACTTTGGATGTATCATATGTTAGCTTGGTTGATGGCTTCATGCCTTGTCAAGCAAAAGACAGATGGTTTTCTAAGCAGAAGATAGATGGTTCTCTCAGTTAGAGTTGGAACTTGTTTTTTAAGAAATCAAATCAGTTGTAGGAATTTACTACAAACTATTAGAATTGTTCAACAGATAAAAGAGAATTCACCACTTAAAATTGTGGGCTCTACATAATTTTTTATGAATATTAAATAATACTGAATTATTATTAATTAATTATACTATAGTAATTACAGATGATACAGATGATATGTTCTCGGAGATAATAGGCAATAAAAAGTCCATATATACTCTATGTCTAGATAATAGTTACAGATGATTATGTTCAGATCTCAACAAATATGTGAAAGGGATCATTGCTAATACAATAAAAAAACATAAAAAAATTCACAAGTCTTGGTATTTTTCTGTTTTACCAGAAATTTTTATAGCATTTTTCTGTTTTACCAGATTTTATGTTTTAAGATTACGTGTTTAAAAATAATTATAGGATGAAAAAAAAATAATATTTTTTAGATGACAATCGAGTTTTGAACTCATTATTCTCCATTAAAATATTATTAAGATATCAATTCACATTTCTTTTCCTGGATTTACTTTACAATTTTTTTGATTGATTATTGTTGCTAATTTAACTTTTCTATACCCTTTTTCAATGAACTTTAAAATTTTCATAATAAATTTACAAATTTTACCAACTCAAATTTTTTAATTTTACATGAATATTATATTTAATTTTACAATCGGTATCCTGACCCATCTCTAGTCTTCTAATCGAAACTCAATGAATTTAAGTTTGTTTTAATTCAACTTTTTTCATAAATTTATAACTCATAAGGATATATTTTTGAAAAAAAAATTATCCAAATTTCACTTATATCGTTTCTTAATAAGACTAATTTACAAATATGCAAAATGAATCATTGGTAATTAAGATATCAATTTATTACTTTTTAAAATTTTTTTCTTAGAACCACATATTACTGTGTTTATATTGGTTTTAGAAATGAAATTAAGTAATTGTAATTAACCATTAATATTGTTTTTATCATTTTTTTTATATAGAAGCAAAAAACTAAACAATTTCTTTTTTTTTTAATTTTTTAAGATGGTTGAATACTTGAATAAGTTTCAAAAGGTTCTTGAATAAGTTTCTATCTTCCAGAAATATCTTTAGATCAATCTCAACTGAAAACCTAAGAACTCTCTTACCTTTTATTTCTTCAAATATTTTATTTCACAAAGAATAATACAAAAAATTTTGCAAATTAAGTATCGTTCAATACTCAACCTTTTCAGGTCCCAAAAGGAGGTAGCGAGGCAAATTATAAAGCACGCATTGAAAGCGCTAATAAAGAGCTCATGCTCCTACTTATATTGCCGTTATCCAATCATTTATTAGATTTTTGTTTTTTGGATTTGTTTTTATTATGTTACAATATTATAAAAATAAGTGGATTTAAACTAATGGATTGGATAAAAACAGATGGATTTGAACTAATGGATTGGATAAAAACAAGTGGCTTTAAACTAACGGATTGGATAAATTTTTAGGTTTCTATTACAATAGCCTCTAAACAAACGGTATTTACTCGAAGAGCACCATTAAGTTTATCGGTTAAACTCAATTTTTATTATTTTAAAATAATTTTCAACAACCCAACATAATAATAATTATTATTATTATAATATAATTATACCTATCTAGCAAAAAAAAAAAAGAGGATAACTTGACTGACACTAAAACTGTGGCGCATGGCTACGAAAGATTATGTGATTTCTCTTTCTTTTTTTTTTTCATTAATTAAGAATCATAATCAAAAGATAAAATGTATGACCGTAATTTTACTTACAAATTAAAATATGTTTTCTTGTATAATTATAAGTGTAAAAAAATTATTAAATGAAATTCAAATTTAATTATATGTTTTATTAGTATAAAAAATCATAATCAAATTATATGTTTTATTAGTTCATAAAATGATATTTAATAAATTTAAATTTTAAATTATAATAATTATAATTTATTTTTTATTTTTAAATTATGATCTTTTTTATTAAAAAAAATATAAAACTTAATACTCTTTACATAATTTTAACTTGCATTTGTTAATCGAAGCAAATTACACTATTGCTTAACCTATGTTTCAAATAAATGATTTTATGTCTTCGGCATCTTAATTTAGTGGTCAAGTAAGCCTTAAAGAAGACACACGGCTGAGGTTCAACCCCAACCCTTCTTTCCCTCTTAATGTAGGGCTTTGCCCCATTGACAAACCCAAAAAAAAAAAAAAAAAAGATTTTACACTTATATTTAATTACCATTCTCCAATTATATGTTGTAATTATTTGAGTTACTCTCTAACTATATGTTTTAAATATCTATTTAAATATAAGATTTTCATCATAACTGTAAATCATAGGTAGTGTAGCATGCATGGATGAGATTATTTATGCTTCTCTTTTACGCAAAGAATTAATTGATATTGCTATATAAATATAATTTAAATTCATTTTTAATATGTTGATGATAAATTTTTTTTTAATTTTAAAGGTAAAATTAAAAAATTATTATATATTTTATTTTTTAATTATTTTTTATTATATATTTTAAAAATGTGTCATTTTATTAATCATTGATGATAAAGTTTAAAAGTTGCTTTATTAATGAATGTCCTGAATTTTTTATGTAGGATATGAGTCGCAATTTTTTTAACTAAAAAATTACATATGTAAAAGAAATAGAACAACAAACTTTACATAAAATTTTTTAGATGAAGTTTGTGAAATTTTTTTTTAATAATTTAATAAAATTTTTAATAAAAAATTTAAATTGATAAATTAATAGAATTTGACTTAGAGATCAATAATATATAAAAAAATTATTACAAATGTTATTTATAATTTAAATTTGATCAATACTTATTTAATGATAAAAATTTTATTAACAATTTTATTAAAAATATCGATCTAAAAATATATATATTTGTTAAAATTTTTTAAATTTGATACACTTAATTTATATAACGAAATCTTTTAATTTATTAATTTTAAATTTTAATTTTAATTTTAATTTAATTATATTTAATAAAAAATTTTACAAATTTTATTTAAAAAATTTCATCTAAAGTCTTTTTTAAAAATAGGAATACATGTAGGGCAACGGATAAAGAGGCCGCTGGCCAGTATTTCAAAGTGTCATTAGTAGTTACGAATTGATTTGGTGGGGAGTAGGCGTGGCTCTTATCTACGCGCATCCAAATCCAATCACATGATAGATGTTTGTTAAGCCATCATGATCCCTCATCTCCTTTGATGATCCATGGATATGTAGGGACCATGTATTCTCCCTTCCACCCTCACAGATAATCTTTCACCCCTGCTTCGTCTGAAATCTCACTTTATATATATATATATATATATATAAAAAACTTTTTGATCTAATGATCAAATAAACTTATAAAAAATTTTCATTAAAAATAAATGGATTAATTTCTTTTCTAAATATAAAGTACATTAATAAATGTAATATCATTAAATAAAATGATCGGTGATTATATTTGCAAGTGATATGAAGCAATTTTTGTAGTTCTTTATTACTCCCTTCATACCAAATTGTTTGTTTGGGTGGTATTAATTTTTTCGAAATTAAAAAAAATGCTTTGATTTTAATATATTTAATATTAAAATTATTTTTTTTATAAAATTAAAGTTCTATGACTTTTAATGTCAAAAAGTACAAAATTTTATTAAAAATAATTTTAAAATATAAAAAAGTAAAAGTTTTAAATATTAAAAAAAAGACATAATTTTTGGATATTTAAAATAAATAAATAAATAAATAAATAAATAAATAAAATGAGACAAAAAGAATAATATTTAACAATATCTAAACTAATTTCAAGTTCAATTTACTTTAAAAGTCATATTAGCAGATTCTCATTTATCATTATGATGCACATTTTGATGTGTATGATAAAAAAAAAAAAAAAGCATTTTATGAATCCCAACCCTTCTAAAAGGAACAAAAAAAATATAAAAAAAAGAAAGAAATCCCTCAGAGAAAATATTTGAAAATTGAAAATTTAGCTTAAATTTAGTTTATGTTTAGATCATCAAGCATATTTATCCCATTTTTTATATTGATTTGTTAATTAGTTAATTTAATTTAATTTATTATTTTTTAGTGTAATAGCTGTCTCATATGTTTTGAATATATAATGTTTTATTTGGATTGTTATTTCATACCTTTAATATGTAATAATCTTATTAAATTGACTTCTGTTGATTTTATTTTACTTCCAAAAAAAAATAAGAATGACATGAAAAACAAATGTAATTACAAAAGAAAAAAATTTGAGAAAACAGAAAGGGATTTGATTGTGAAATAACAAGATACTGCATGCGCAAATCAGAAAAACTATTGGCCAATAAGGCATACCACATGGCAACAGTATTGTACACCATGTGTTAAGTTATGAGGGAAGTTGTCCAGCTGTTTTCACTTGAAGGAAGAAAGTTTGGAAAGTAACCTCTAAAAAGGCCTAACTAAGAACATGGGCCCTGCCTTTTAATCTTTCTTTGATTTTTAATTTTTTTAAATAATATATAATATTTTAAAATTTAAATTTTTGATTTTAATTTAAATTAATTTGATCTAAATTAAATTTTATTTGTTAGATTTGGTTAATCTATTTTTAAATTTAATTTTTTAAATTTAATTTTTTATATATTATTTTAATATAATTTTAATATATTTAAATAAATTTATATATATAACAATTATTTTTTATATAAATTTCAAATATATAAAAATTAATAAAAATATATAATTTGATTTGATTTAATTTTTTTAATTTTTTATATCTCAATCATAAATCTAATTCAAACTCACTCAAAATTGAACTAAACATTATAATTTTGAATCAATTTTTAATTTTTTCTCACCCATAACACTCATTGCTAGATAATAAATTTTTTTTCGATTTTAATTATAAATGATGATGCAATATAAAATAACATAAAAATATATAAAAAATAACTGTTTTAAAATTTAATAAAAATTAAAAATGCATTTCATATTTGATTATCAAAATAAATTATAATATAATAATATATATATTTAAAATCAAGTACCTTTGCTATATATATATTCTGTTTTCTAAAAGTGTCATAGTATTCCAAAATCGACGTCTGTGATCACCTTTGAAATCCACAATCAACGGCTATGATTAGCGGGCGAACGACAGAAAATCAAAAGAGATGATAAGAATCCACGTAGCTTTCATTAATGATCTCCAACTAATCCGAATGAACGGATGCTACGCCAGTCGATGGGGGCCATTGGTCGGCTAGATGTTTAGACAGGTGGCAGTTTGAGAGATCCCCATTACGCCGTGTCAGCATGTATTGTCGTACAGTTTTGTTCGGTAATGTGAAATATCGGCGTACTTTGCGGCCATGAAAAGCAGTGATGTTTGAATTAGAGCGCATTTGCATGTGCCGCTGTCATGAAAATTTTTAATTTAATTAATTTTGAAAATAAAAAGATGAAAATGAAAACAAAATTAAATAGATTTTTGATATCGCAAATTTATAGTTAATAACTACATATCACTGTTGGAGATGTAGGTGATAATTTATAGCCCCCTTCTGGCCCTTTTTCAATCGCATGGAATATTAATGCTTAAGGTTGGAAATTGACACGAAAATGCAAAAAATTGGTTCTAACATTTTTTATATAATAACAATAATAAATTAAATCTTATATTTCATAATTATGAGGTCAATTTTATTAAAAATTAAAAGAAAAAATTATATTAATTTATAATTTTAAATTTTTTTACGATACTTATTTTTATTTAATTTTTTTAATTTTAATATCATCTCTTATTATTTACGTTTTTATATTTCATGATTTATCGTTATAAATTTTAATTTTTTTCAAATCTAAGAACTTATTTTATCTAACTTTCACTCAAATAAGTCTACATTTCACATAATTGTAAACGTTTTTTATAAAAAAAATAATTCTAACTTTTTTTTATATAAAAAAATTTGTAATATGAGAATGAAGAAAAATAATTACAGATATTAAAATTTTAATTTTAAATTTGTTAGATATTATATTTTAAAAATAATTGTATGAATTAAATTATTGATTTAATTTTAATTTTTTATTATCTTATATAGTTGAAAAGTACTTACATATAATGCATAAACTACTTTTTTGTTAGAGATTATTATTAAAATGAAGAACATTTTTGGCATTTTTCAAACCAACATCTATCAAGTATTTAATGGTATTAGCTGAATTTTTCATAAATTTATTACTCCCATCTTCTTATGATGGCTTTCATATGAACTTTTGTATTTTTCATGTTATTTATTTTAATAAAGAAAAAGCATATAAAGACTTAACCAGTATTTTTCACCCTTTGCCAACCAAATCAAGCAAATGCAAAAGGGGGCCCAATAAAATCCATAAATTTATTGGCCTACCTCTAAAGAAATTAATCGATGGAGCAACAAGGCCTTCTTCCAAGCTCCAATTGGTTCATTCTTTTTAATAATTGAGGTTGTCTTTTTTGAACTTTTATTAAAAAATTAAAAGTGTTCATCATTTCAGACATTGGTTATTTTTTCCCTAATGTCTTTCTCAATATATACAATGACATAAATATTAAATTTAGACATGACAAATAGTATATTTTTATTATATAAAATATTAATAATTTATATATATTTATCATTTTTGATATAAAAGTTATGTATTATAATTTATATTAACATAAAAATATAAAATATATTTTTTATTTTATTAAATTTATTTATAATTTTTATTAAAATATTAAAATATAATTTTTTATATTTTTTATTTATATTATTTTTATATTATCTCACTATATTATATTTTAAATTATTAATTCGAGAAAACGACTCACCCGTGCGCCAATATGCCCGGGAAATCCCCCTCAAATGATGGAAGTTGGGCACGGTGAGGCAACCTAGAATCTAGATGGAAAACGCCACAAAAAAAGGGCATGGCGAGTGGTGGGGGAGAGAATTTAATAGGAGTAACTTTTTTTTTTTATTTTGTTTTCTTTTTGAGTGTTTGAGCAGCCTTATTCAGGGCCTTACTTAACGGCAAAAACTACCCAACTGGAATCCTGTAAAACCTGAAATCACGAAGAATGGCGACCCCACATTGTTAGTTTAATCACGCCATTGAGCAAGGCTTTAACCCCTTTATAAAGACCCCTCTCTTCTTTTCATTTTTCTCAAGCTCAAACCTCCATTTTTCTACTGTCTGAACAATACAAGTGGAAAGGAAAATGGCTATCCCTTCACTTTCACTTCTCTTCTTCTTGACCTCTCTTCTAATCCCAGCTCTCATCTCCTCTTCCCCAGTTCAGGACCCAGAACTTGTAGTGCAAGATGTGCACAGGTAAAATTGCTCCACCACTAGATAGTGCCATTGTAATATTTAAAATGTGTGACATTTTTTTGGTTTTCTGGGCAGGGCCATCAATGCGTCTAGGAGGAACCTTGGTTATCTCTCTTGCGGAACCGGCAACCCGATTGATGACTGCTGGCGGTGTGACCCCAACTGGGAGAAGAACCGGCAGAGGCTAGCTGACTGTGGAATTGGGTTTGGCAAGAATGCCATTGGTGGAAGAGATGGTAAGATTTATGTTGTCACTGATTCTGGTGATGATGATCCTGTTAACCCCAAGCCAGGAACTCTAAGGCATGCTGTGATTCAAGATGAACCATTGTGGATCATTTTCGCTCGTGACATGACCATTCAATTGAAGGAAGAACTCATCATGAATTCTTTCAAGACAATCGATGGCAGGGGTGCTAGTGTTCACATTGCTGGGGGTCCGTGCATTACCATACAGTTTGTGACCAACATTATTATTCATGGACTGAACCTTCATGACTGCAAACAAGGAGGGAATGCTATGGTGAGGGACTCCCCACGGCACTATGGTTGGAGGACCATATCAGACGGTGATGGTGTATCCATCTTTGGTGGTAGCCACATTTGGGTGGATCATAACTCATTATCAAACTGCAAGGACGGGCTAATTGATGCCATTCATGGGTCCACAGCAATCACCATTTCAAACAACTACATGACTCACCATGATAAAGTCATGCTATTGGGGCACAGCGATTCCTATACTCAAGACAAGAACATGCAAATCACCATTGCCTTTAATCACTTTGGAGAAGGGCTTGTCCAAAGAATGCCAAGGTAAATATCCTCATCCCACAGTGAATTTGGTTATGTGGGTCATCATCTAAAAGACTAAAACAATATTTTTTTTTTTCACATTTACAGATGTAGACATGGGTATTTCCACGTGGTGAACAATGACTACACCCATTGGGAAATGTATGCCATTGGAGGAAGTGGTAACCCAACCATCAACAGCCAAGGGAACAGATTTACTGCTCCTGATGACAGATTCAGCAAAGAGGTGAGGACCATTTAATACTTAAAACCGAAAAGCTCAATGTTATTCATTAAGGCATAGCTTCAGTAATAATTATTTCATGCAGGTGACCAAGCATGAAGACGCACCCGAGAGTGAATGGAGGAACTGGAATTGGAGATCAGAAGGCGACATGATGGTGAACGGTGCGTTTTTCACACCGTCGGGCGCGGGTGCCTCCTCCAGCTATGCCAAGGCTTCTAGCTTGGGTGCTAGGCCATCTTCACTTGTCGCTACGATAACGACTAATGCTGGTGCACTTAATTGCAAGAAAGGCTCTCGTTGCTGATGGAGAGAGACACATGATCGAACACGACACTTTGTTACAAGTGATTTAAGTGGTGTTCGAGGGCAATTACATTTACCATATTTTTCTACTTTTTTTTTTTTGTTTTTTCTACTCTGATGATTACAACCTCGGCCTGTTCCTCTAAGAACATCTAGGGATTCTTTTGAAGAATCTTGATGGACTTTGAGGAAGCAAGTGCAGATGAGTTGATATATACTAAATTCTAAGTTATGTTTATTTATTTTACATTAAAATCTCTCTCTCTACCACAAATCCATGGTAGAAAACCATAAAAGACAGTAAATAATGGCGACCCTAAAGACAAGGAAACATAGAATGCAAGTGCAGACAGATGAAAAGCTTCAACCCAACCATTTTTGAATTAATTTGAATTGATTTAAGTGAGTAGGAGAGTTCACCAACCACCATAACTGTAGTTAAATTGGCTCCAGCGCTAAATCATTGTCGGTTATCTACAAAGTAAGCATTTTTTTCAAACATGGAATCCCACTTAGATGCCCATCCATCCAAATTATCCACACGATTCAACTCCAAGATAATATAGATCACTTTCGTCCTTTGTCCTTTTTTGACCATGAAGAACATGCTCTTTCACCAAGGCATGGAATACAGAAAATCACAGCAAAGGAGCACCCAATGTCTAGTCTCCTGGGCCCTCCAAGAGATTTTACAGAGAGTAGATATGAAGACAAAAAGGAAAAGGCACATGCATTCCATGGAACAGCTTTTGATGTAACGGTCTGCTTATAACTAGATCTTTACAAAGTTGCTTGCTTCCATATTCAACAGGTCATATCCTTTTCTTTATTAATGAGCACCAAGGACTTCCCAACTCTCGTGTACCATCATATCCTATCTCGCATATGCAACATTTAAAGGTTACAATAGATCAGTCACTCCGAGTCAATACATAGATTTTGTAGGATATGACTTTGGTATATGCTCCAGTGGTCCAGGTTTGAAGGGCTCTAGGGCATATTTGCCCCTGCCTTGCCAAATCAGATTTGAGACTCCCTACTGATTGGCCAGGGGTTGCATCTGTATGTAGCGATCATCTGCTGCAAAACTGGGCCCTGGCGTTTAAATCCCAAAGAAATGGAACCCAGCTTACAAAGATTTTCATTTCCTTCTTAAATGTCATGGGAATAAATTCCAATCCAAAAAGTGCATGATGAGTGTTTGAAGGAATGTTATATCATTGGTCGGCTTGAAAATCAGGAATGGTTTACAGGTTTAGTGCAAGAAAATCCTCTGAGTTGGATTTCTATTTAATTTGGATAAATATGGATCGCATCCATCATTAATGCAGATGGTTAGGCCTGGTCTCAAGACATCATGTGATGATGCAGATTTTATGGACCCGACCACGTGGGAGACAATTGGAAGACGGCTACAAGCCTAATTGGAAGGTTATGATTTTGAGCTTTTGGACCCTCATTATTTTCCTTTATCTAGCGGCAAGAAAATGGTTGATTTGTGACGGATTTTCAAGATTCGAATGATTATAAGGACTCGAAAATATAATCCAGCCAATCTTATCCGATGACCATCTGTCTGCAGGTTGCCTTACTAATATTTTAAAATTTTTTAATAAATATTTGAATTATAAATTATTAATCAATATGATTTACATGTCTCAATTATCCTTTCTCGAATAAGAATATTACAATTCTGCCGTTTGCCATAACATTAAAAATAAATGGCTTTGAAAATATTTAATAAAAAAACATATATACTCATAGGTCACGTTTGGCAGGGGCGTGGCTATAACATTAAAAAAAAAAAAAAGCATTTTTGTTTCAATGTATAAAACTTATCCCTATTTTTAAAGAAAATTTTGAACTACGAAATTATTATTATAAATATATTCAGTCACAAACTCTAAAAATTTGATCGTCGTGGCAAAAAATAAAAGCTAGTAGTGTAGAATTGAAGAAAAAGATAACAAAACCCAAAAATTTAGATAAAAGAATTTGCGACGAAGCTAGTTTACTTTTGGGCCGACCTTTGGTGTTATTATATTAGCGACGAGGAACAACAATAGCTGGGCTTTGTCCAACTAACATATCATCTTCTCTTTTTGGCAATTGAATAACAATGGGCAATTTACAATGCACATGGCCCGGCCAATCCATTCGTTTTTCATTTTTTTCTTCTGTCTGCCCAATTATTTTGCATTTGAACAAAATCAAACCAAAAATCAAAAATAAATTCAATGAAATTAAATGAAAATTTTACCCTTCGTTCTAAATTTTCACTAGAAAAATAATAATAATTTTAAAATTCGTTTCATATAATAATTATATGAAAATCAGGGTTAGAGTTAGGATCTCTCTAACTTAATTTTATGAAAATTATTGCGGAATTTTTAACGTAATTTAATTATAATTATAAAATTTTAATTAAAATTGAATTTCTTCGCTTGAGATTGAGATATTTAAAATAAATTTTATTTATTGTGAGTTAGAATTTTGTACTTGGTATTCAATCATGTAAAAAAAAATTTTTGTGTATTTCACAAAACTAAAGTTGCAATAACCTATAGAACCTTGCCTAGCGATCTATAGGAGAGATGGGATCTTTGTGTGATAAATGTTCCTTTAGGGTTTAACCATCTTCATCAGAAAAACTTTTGAACTTCCTGTTAGGGAATGAATGAATGGTCCAATTAACATTGGGCTTTGGACAATTGATTCAGGTTGCAAATCCTCGAAGGGTTTTTTTTTTTTTTTTAATAATTTTACTAACAAGATATAATCTATTCATAAAATGTTAAATTCTTAATTTTAATTATCAAAATTAAAATTTTAGTAGTCAAGAGCTGCTAAGGTAATTACATTGGAAGTTCCAATTGTCCCAAAGATGTCAATGATTCCCTTCAAATGCAACCTTGCAAGCAAAGATTTTAGGGAAAATTTTCACAGCATTTTCTGCCCCTTTTGACCAACCTTACAAACAAAGATTCTAGGGAAAAGTTTCACAACATTTTCTGCCCCTTTGACCATCATTGATTGCCAATCGATTCCAAAAGTAAACTATAAAACCTTCTAGAAAAGACCTGTTGAGTTATAGCCTTTGGTTCCTTGAAGCTACACCACTAAACATTTAAATGAAAGGAAAAAAGGGTCGTGTGCATCATGTTAGCATATTTTTTTTACTAACCATAGGTTTTAAAAACGCTATTTCTGGGAAAAAGACCTTACCCAAAGTTCCACTTGTCATAAAAAATTAAAATACTTCCTACTTGATAAAAATCATGTATTGTCGGTCTAAGACTAAAATCCAACCAACCAAAATTGCATTTCTTATACCTCATTTGGATTTCACCACATCCCTAATAGTAGCATTCCACCGGTGTAGTTGCAGGCAACAAGTTCTACTATCCTTTCAATCTCCAACTAAGGAGAATGGGTTCAATGGTTCATTAGACTCTAGGGTAATCAATTTTTTAGTAAAAAATTAGAAATATAGATCATGCGCGGTGTATAAAATAATTGACAGGATAGAATGATAATTATTTTATATTATATTTAATTTGTATTTAAAGAAAATGATATAATTACAAGAAATATTATTATCCTCTTGGTATAGGTTAATTCAATCCTTCCAAAGTGAAGAGAATTATTTTTAATTCATGAGATTGAACTTACATATCTTATATACATTTAAAAATTACATTAATAATTTAAATAGTATAACTTTAAGGAAAGATAATTTTGACCAATAAATAAACTATCATATTTTAATCATTTTGCACATTAAACATAAAATAAGATGACATTATTTAATCTCATCTTATTTATAATATTATCTTAGTTTATTTTATTTTATCATATCTTATATACCAAATATGACCAAAACACATCATATATATATATATATATTATATTACAACATATAAAAATACCTGATAAGATGTGTCACGTGGATATTTAGATAGATATCCTTTTTTTTTTTTGACATATGGATAATACCTATTATACATGAGTTGAATTCAAATATTAAAATTTTTAAAAATAATATCTTACCCTAATTATCTATGATTAATTCTCTATTCTTTTTTCTTAAAAATAAAAAATCTCAATAGGTTGTAATAAAAATGTAAAACTTAAAAAAATTAATCTTATTTGATTAAAAATGACCAAAAGACATCTTTTTTTAAATTTAAAAGTTTCAAATGGATATTTTTACTTTAGTAACATTCTTTATAATCATTTAATCTCTTTTTAATTAAAAAACACATATCATTAATTATATTTTTTTAAATTCAAAAGATATTTATAATTAATTTATTATGATTTGATGTCTTAATTAAATATATGTATTATACATATTTTAAATATGCAAGTGATTAAATAGTATTAATTTATATTTTTATACATATTTAAATAAGCAAAGATAATACATACATCATATGAGTAGCAAATTATTTTTTAATCAATTGTCTTTAGTAGGATAATTGATTATAATATTTAATTTTAATATTATTATTGTATTTGCATCAAAAGATATATCTCCATCATTGATCTTATCTCATTACTATAATACATAATTTTATCACTATAATACTTAATGTTATCGTTCCAAATAGAGTTTTAGATTTTTTTTTTATTTTGTTAATGGTCCATTAAACAATGGTACATTTCTAAAAAAATTCATATAAAGTAAAAAAAAAAAACATATTTTTATTTTTAATTTTTTGATTTAGTAGTTAAGAAATTTTAAAAATATATATGTAAGGCATGAGTTTTATCCCGATTATTTTCATTTTTAAATTTTGTGGGTAAAAAAAAAATATTTTTTAAGCTTTTAATTTAATTTTAAATTTATTTTATTTTAATAAGAAAAAAATATTTTACAGATAAATTTTATCGAATTCATAAATTTAAAACACTAACAGTAATGACATATTAACTGATTTAAAGATAAATCCGCTAAAAGAAAAGTATATTCTTAATCTAATCATTAGCAAAAGATAATTCAATAATCAAATTAGTAATAAATTAACTTTATAATCATATCCATTCGAGGCATTGTTATCTGCAATCGTAACCCGGCGGCTTGATTTTCAATATAGAGTCGGTTCCGACACAAATTTTGATTGGTCGACGAACATTTGTCTCCAAGGGTAGGCTCACGTTCTCCACCAATAGAATCAGTGGTCAACCTTAACTGACACGTGCTTATTATCGGGTACTGTTGGAACCGCTACGTTTTATGTTTACCAGCTTAATTTTTTTTTGCTCAGCCTGTGGATCATCGACGCGTGGTAATCAGCCCACACTTTTTTGTTCGCTTTCGACAAGTGGACAAGATGAAACAGCTGAATGAATGAGAACGAGTGCCACGTTGGACTGAGCTGTGAACTCTTCAGCTCACCAAAAGCAGCTTATTACAAAATCGGCTCCAAGTAATAAATATTCCAAATATTTGATATTAATTTAAGTATGACAAGTGAAAATCTTCATTAAACGAGAAAACGTGTAAATGTGAATCGAAATTATTCATATTATGTGTTGTTCCCCAGCCAGTTTCATAAAATGTCCAAGTTTTAATAACATTACTTCGAAAAAAATTAAAAAATTTAAAACTTAATTTGAAATTATTGTATTTAATTTAATTTAGATTAATTTTTTTTATTTAATTCGAATCAAATTTAAATATTAAATATATATATTAATTTTGAATTGAATTTTAAATCAAAAAATAAAAAATAAAAAAATTAAATTATATATATTAGTTTTTATATATTTTAAATTTTTATAAAATAAAAATAATAATTTTATATTAAAATTTATTTAAATATATTAAAATTTTATATTAAATAATAATAAAAAATAAATAAATCAAATTAAATTAATAAAATTTAAATTGAATGAAAATTTAATTTATATTTAAATCAAATTTTAAATTTTTATAAATTATATAATATTCAAAAAAATTAAACTGAATTTAGTTTGAATCGAATTGTTATCACTTTATAGTAAGTATATTTATCTACTTTATTACATAAAACTAATTTTTTTGATAAAATTAAACCAATATTTTGGAAAGGTAAAAACGTAAAAAAAAATTTTATTTTTTTTATAAGAAGGTAAGACCCATACAAAAAAAGAAAAGATGACGAGGTTAAAAAACCCACACCACATATTTACTCTAAAACCTCTTAATCATTAGGCAAGAAGTAGAAGACACAACAAAAATTTTATTTGCATAAAAAGACACTTTTCCTCGTTATAATGAAGAATCACTTCTCCACTCGTGCATTACATTTAATAGATGTATATTAATTTTTTTAAAAATAATTTTATGTTGTTTTTCATTAAAAGGAAAAAAATTATAAATATTAATATTTGAATATAAAATTTATTAAATGATATTTTTTAAAAAATAATTACATAAATAAATTAAATTAAATTTCAATAAAATTATGTGACAACTTTCATGAAACTGAATCATAAGATACAAAAATATTATCATTAATATTATATCGCAATTCAAATTTAATACAAAAATTGAAATTAGAACCATCCAATTTAGTTAGATCGCAACCTTTCTTCAGCCAAATAAAATATAATTCCGAACAAATCAAATCTCGAGGAAATATAGAAAGCGATTTTTGGCAAAACCATAACCATGTAATTAAATCCGAATTTAGTTTGACATTTTTTTCCAAAGAAATAGTGGGGAAAACGAACAGTGGAAGCGCGTGGGAACAGTAAAACCCAACATTTTTGTCACAAAACATGCATCTCTGTTTTTTCTCCCTTAGGATGCCTATAAAGTTCAACACGGCCAGCCACTTTGGACATTGCACAACGACTAAAGAACAGGCGCTTTGATTTTTTTCTCTTTCCATGGAAGACAGTAGTCATAACTCAACCTCCTCGGCCGTTATCTCCGCCATTTCCTCCGTCCCTGAATTAACAGAAGCCGATCTCCAGATCCTCACCTCCGGTGGCCTCCGCATCCCCGCTCACTCCAGCATCTTGGTAGTGAATCTAAACTCTGTTTTTTTAGTACATTTTCTGGTTTCAAAATTTTCTTTGTTTTCTTATCTGACTTTTTTAAACAAAAATTAGGGAATGGCGTCGCCAGTGCTGGAAAGTATAATCGAGAGCTCTGAGAGAGTCATCCCGATTCTCGGCGTACCATGCGACGCCGTTTCCGCTTTTGTTGGATACCTCTACTCTTCCAGGTGGCTGCCTAAGCATTTGATTAATTGATTTCCACTCTGTTTGTTTGATGATCGCTGCCTTGTTGTCCACTTAATATAAAAAAAAGTTTTTTATAAATAAAAATATGAAATTTAAAAAATGCGTGGCAGTCGGCTCCAAAATTAGAGGCGGCGATTTTTTTTGTCGAAGTCGAATTTACTGAAATGACCCTGGTTATGTAATAGGTGCACGGAAGAGCAAATGGATAAATACGGGATTCATCTTCTAACATTATCACACGTTTACTCGGTCCCACAGCTAAAGCAGAGGTGCACCAGGGGAGTGAGCCAGCGGCTGACGGTCGAGAATGTGGTGGACGTGCTACAACTCGCCTGGCTCTGTGACGCACCCGATCTCTACCTCAAGTGCATGAAACAGGTCCTCGCCCATTTCAAGGCTGTCGAGCAAACTGAAGGCTGGAAATTCATGCAGGATCATGATCCCTGGGTCGAACTCGAAATCCTTAAATTCATCGATGAAGCTGAATCGGTAAATTTAAAACAAAAAAAAAAAAAACCAATTACGTATTGGCATTGATGATGATAATAATTTCATTGTTGGTTATAAATGGTTAATGAAAATTGATATGATTTGGCAGAGGAAAAAGAGAACGAGGCGGCATAGGGAAGAGCAGAGCTTGTATTTACAGCTGAGCGAGGCAATGGAGTGTTTGGAGCACATATACACGGAAGGGTGCACGACTGTTGCGCCGTACGACGTGGAGCCAGCAAAGAAAACGTCCCCCTGCAACAAATACAAAACGTGCCAAGGTGTCCAGCTGTTGATCAAACATTTTGCTCTGTGCAAGAGAAGGATTAATGGAGGTGGGTGCTCTCGCTGCAACCGGATGTGGCAGCTCCTTAAACTCCACTCCTCCATTTGTGATCAGCCTGATTCTTGCAGGGTTCCACTTTGCAGGTAAAATCATCATCATCATCACCGTTTCATTTACCATATCAGTCATTTATTTTATTGATTGCGGTAATGAAAAGCATAGATCTTTGTGTCATTTTCTAGAGCAATTCCTGCATTCATTATTACTTCTCCAACTTCTCTCTTTTTACCATCAAATTCAAGACTGTTTGCTTTGTAAATTTGACAGGCAATTCAAATTGAAAGCAAAACAACAGAAAATGGGTGATGATGCAAAATGGAAGCTACTTGTGAGGAAGGTTTTGTCTGCCAAAGCTATGTCTTCTCTATCTCTACCCAAGAGAAAGAGAGAGGAGGAGCTGAGGGAAACAATGGAGGATCATGTATTGAAAACCTTCAGATTACTATAGAAAGGAGATGGTTAAATTCTTTTATTCATAAGAGAGAAAATTGTGTCATGGTGGTTTGTATATGAAGTGAGTTCCTTTTTTCCCAGCTAGCTTCATCCTATAATCACATCCTCTTTTGGAGATTTTATAGTGCAATCCTGCTATTATGGGTAGTGTGATAGTTTGTGTTCGAAGCAAGATGATGTAAAATGGAGTGTTTACTTGTAAAATTCTAAAGCCTCTTCATTTTGTGCAAATGAAAATGGTTTGTACTAAGTTGCCAAAGTCAATAAAATTAAATCCGATATTTAATTTAATTGTTTATGTAATCATTCTTAAAGATGATATTCAATAAATTTAAAATTTAAATCTCAGCATCTGTAATTTTTTTTTATCTCATATTTTTGTTATATTTTTTCTGATTTCGACATTGGGGTATTGAAATTTTGACAAGCAATTTTTGGCCTTGATTTTAATAGTATTTCTATAAATTTCAAAATACGAAAATAAACTTAAAAGGTGGAAAAATAAGAAAAATTTTTAAGTAGAAGTGACAGCATTTCGTATGGATGATGTGAAGCATATACTAAGAACTCAAAATGAAACTGGTCCCATAAAACTATTAGTGTGAATTATCAGCACATCTTGTCTCTTAAGGCATTGGCACCATCATCATTTTCATTCTGAAAAGAGAAAACAAATTGCTTTTGCTCATATACTCATACTTCAAACAGATTATTGGTAATTTTCTTTAACAGTACTGCCATCAATGACAAAAAGTTTTCACGGGAAACTGATACATATTCACCAATTTCGTTTCCTTACATATCTTTATTGTTCTTTTTATTTAGCGGCAAGGATTTCTAGGTCTGCTTAGTATATTTTTTCGGGTCAATTCAAAAAGATTTATTTACATTGGATGTAACCAATTCATGAGAAATTACTTTCGGAGAACTTCATAGTAAACTCGAAGCTAAATAACAAAAAAAAAAAGCACTCTCTTTACTACTCGAATCAACCATTCATTGTTTTCGTACATATCTTTATATCATATATATATAAAAGATGTTTAGGCTTTAATTTTCATTGAGAAACAAATTGATTCACAATCAACATGCTTGACAAATAAAAACATATAGTGGGTGGAAGACATTGAAGTCTAAAAGCCAGTTTCATAATTGCAATAGTGTTTTAAGCTGCTCATTTTGTCGAGAGAGGAAGGGTGAAAGGGATAACATAAAGCAACAAAGGAATCCCACTATGACCCTACTTGGAATTGGAAAGTTGGATCTACCATGTAACTCACCTTGCAACATATTTTTTTCTTTTTTTCCTTACTTTTTGCAATTTAAAAATATTTAGGTCATAAAGTCTAGATTAGATCATCATTGGGGTATTTTGGATCTAAATAGCGTTTTGGTCATTTCCCTCATTAGGAATTATCAGTAAACAGTTTGGGATATTTTGAATTTTTGAGCTAACCCTATAGGCAAAATCGGCTTGACATATACAGTGACACATTAGCTTGATTACATCACCATTTTATCTCACAGACTCCTTATTTTACATTTATAAATAAAAACATCTAAATACTATCATTTCATTCACATTCTATTAATGCATTCTTATTTTTTTCTCTTTTCGATCTCTCTTGTATCAACTTTTAACTTGGGCGTCGAAAAGTAAATGCAAGAAACACTTTTTATCTTTTCCCTTAACCGCTTCCTTTTCTTTTAACCGCTTTCTTTTCTTTTGTAATTTCAGAGTTGACCCTAACCTCCAAATTTGACACCAATAATTATCAATAATCTCTTTTAATGAATGATATGGAAATTTAATGTATAAAATTTACAGTATACTTGATCTTGAAATGAAATAAGCTCCTCCTATTTAAATTTAATTAAAAAAAAATTAAAAGTTTAGTGTGGAGCTAAGGTCCTATGATATTAATTAAAAAAATTGTTAAAAGCTTTGATGGTTTTTTGGGTCAAAATGAGCTTTCTTTTATGGTCAGTAGGACCCTGCCCTTCCAAGCATACCACTAAAACAAGGATAACTCATAATTGACATCTTCGAATAATGGTACTCCCAAAACCATCCCAAAAGATTCAGAACCGTTTTTTTTTTTTTTTTGGGGATAACAAATGAACGGCGATCCAATTGACTTTGTTGCATAAGTGGGTGGCATATCGAGATTTCGTTATCAAATAAAGGCATTGAACGATTGAACATAAACGTATATATTTAGTAATTTACATGAATTGATCATTAAAATTAAGCTTATATTTCATTAACCGATCACAAAATTATTCATGATTATATTGAATTTGTATGTCACCTTTTTTTGCAGAAAATGATTTAAAAATTTTTATTCTTTATTTGAATATATGGTGATAATAATAAAAATTTTTACCGTGTCATGATTATCATTTTATGATTGAATCTCTCTCATCATGTATACATATTGCCCAGTCTTTATTCGGTTTATTTAGACTAGATTAGAATCTGGCCTAAAAAAATCAATATAGGATGTTTGTGAGAGGTGGGCCTTGGTTCATACTCTGTATAAAAACAATGGACTCCACTGGCGTTGACTCATGATGATGTCAGATTAAAAAGTGTAATCAATTAAGTTAATATAGTATTAAATTTAAGTTTAAGTTTAATTTAAAATTTAAAATTTGATTCGAATTCAATTAAATTTTATTTTTTTAGTTTGAACTCGATTCGAGATAAAATTTAAAATATTTAAATTTATTGAATTAGGTTTGATTGACATATAAAAATAAATTTAATTTTTATATTTGATAAAAATTCAATTAGTTGTATTCAAATTCGAGATATTTTATTAATTAAAATAATTAAAATATATTAAATTATAAAAATTTGATTAAATTCACAAGTTACTTGAATCAAATATAAAAATACTTGAACGTAATTCGATCGATAAATCAAATTATTTAAATTTAAATTCAATTCAATAATAATCAAATTAAATTTAAATTTTATTTAAATCAAATTTAAATAATTTATAAATACTAATATATTATTTACATCCTTATATCATATGTCTCTATATCAAATCACTTTGACTCTACGGGAATTCCCAACTTATGATTTACAAATTGTTTGCGTCGAACATGAAGGCTAAATGAGTAGTCCATGAAGGGTAATTTTGAAAACAAAAAAAAGAGATTGGCAAACGACAAAAATTATGAATGATTTCGATTCAACACTTAAATTAAAATTAAAATTAAGATTAAAATTAAAAAAAAAGAAAAAAATGAAGGTTTAAAAAGTTAAGAGTGCTAAATAATTTAAAAATATTTGGATCGAATTATTTATAATTATGTGATAGGAGAATCTTAAGTTAAGATAGCCTCAAATCAATATAGGAGACTAAAGTTGATCTCATAGGTCTGATTTAAGTTAGTAAAGAATTATTTATTTAAGATATGATAAATTAATACTTCAGAACACTAATTGGTAAGTAATTGAGGTGGTCAAATTGACTTAGACTCTTAAATCTAACATTGATCCAAAACATTAATTTGGTCAAAATTATTATAATACTTTCACTTATAAGTTAACTTATATTCGAAAAAAAAAATTTATTTTGTCCTTTGAATATTAAAATACCTTTAACACAAATTTAAAAAAAAATTGAAATTACGTTGGAAATGCAGTTTGACAAAAATATTTACCCTTGAAATGAAGTTTTAATTAACTCATCCACATTTAGCAGCGATAATAATCTCCCGAATGTTTATAAATTTTTGAGAAAGAAAGATTCAAAGTATAGATTCACAGACATTAACATTGAAAATATATACAGCTACCATTATATAAAATACCTAATTCTTATTCACGTAAGTTCAGATACCATTAAAAGTTTTAATAAGATATATGCCAAAAATAAAAGAACTGGCAACAAGAGTTTGATTGGGCTATTTGTCGCTCTCGGGTTAAAACTTGAACAACAAGCATTTATCACATACCGCGAGAGAGAAATTTACTAAGTGCCCATTTTGATTTTATCATATTTTTAATATAATGTAATTAAATTTATTGTATTATTAATTAAATTTAAATATTAATTTTAATAAAATTTATTCAATATAAATTTTTTATTAATTATAATTATAATAATAATTATTTTTAATTTTATTATAATTAATCTCACTATTTATCTAAATTGAACTTAAAATTTAACATTTATTCTTCAATTATTGACAATACATGATATTGGTTTTATCGTAAAATTTTATTTTTTTAATTTATAAAAAATATTATGATCTTACTATCAGTTTTGTACGAAGGATTGTATAAAAAGTTACGTAAATTCATTTTTTGAAATGTTGACTGATAACAAGTTTTCCCAGTTTTCTTGGATTAAATTTGAAGGCAAAGTTGTACATAATGTCAGGTGAATTGGAAAAAAAAAATGAAGGCCTTATGGTAGATTAGATATGGAATGATAAAAATAAATATGGTAATTCATGTAAAATATTAAAATTTATATATTTATATTATTTTTTACATAAAAATTATATATTATAATTTAAATTTATATAAAAATATGAAATATATTATTTTAAATTTATTAATTATATATATAATTATTATAAAAAATTTAAATTATATCATTTTTATATTATATTATTATATTGTATATTAAAATTTTTTTTTCTTTGAATGAATCCAAAATTTTGACCTAAGCCTGAACCTCCAAATTTGGGCTAGACGACAACTTTGGAATTGAACAAGATTATCAGCCCGCCCTCGCCCGTAATTTCTGCAGCCCAGGCTGGCCAAGCTCAGCCTTCTGAGTCTCATAGTTATTTTTACTCTATGTTTTTTCAAAGAAAAGAAAGAAAAAGGGAAAAATCACGTTAAGCGGTGAATGGAAGCCTGCGTCAGCTTGACCTACGGAAATTGGAATCCTGGAATAGGATAGGGTGGGGGTCAGGGGCCTCAGGTCAGGGCCCAGGAAGCAGGACGCAGGAGGGTAGCCGCTAGCGAGTCGGCTTCTCGCAAATTTCACACGCTTTCCAGTAAAAGCAGTTCAGCGCTGCTTCTGATTTTACCATTTATTGCCATAGCAATGAAGCGTACCAGTAGCGCGATGGAAAAATACGAAGTTTTTTAATTAAAGTTTATAAATTTTTTATTGAAAGTAATTAAATAAAAATTGATAGATTCAAATATTTTATTATATAGATTCAGTATATAAAATTTAATAAATTTTTAATAAATTTTGATATATATTTTTAAATAGATATTTTTAATAAAAATATTGATAAAATTTTTATTATTTAATAAATATCAATAAATTTTGAATAATAAATAATTTTTATATATTATTATTTTTTATATTAAATTTTATAAATATATCAATTCGATTTTTTTATTAAAATATTTGTTATATTAATTTTTAAAAAAATTTCAAAAATTTTACCTAAAAAATTTGCTTTTTCTCCCCTCAATGGAAGTGGTGCATTTTGCAACTAGAACCGGGGTTGTTACTTAATGCATTTTCGATTAATTTTGATTCAATTTAATTTTGTAAAATTGATGTTTTTAATCAAATTTTAAATTGAATCAAATAATAATAATAAAAATCAAGGTAGGATTTTAGGTAAACCTGCATTGACTCCATTATATATATAATTATTTCTTAATTATTTATTTAATTATATATTTTATATATATTTAATTTTATATTTATATTAAAAATAATATTTTTTATATTTAAAAATAATTTTTTATTAATTTTAAATCAAATTAAATTAAATATAAATTTATATAATATTAAATCAAATTAAATTTGAATATAAAAAATATTAAATTAAATCAAATTTAAATATTATAAATATAAAATCGTATTAAATTCAAAACAAAAAAAATTTATCCCTATCCAACCCGTGAACTACTTCTATCCCTATGAATTTCTTTTCTTTTTTGTTTGCTATGAAGACAAAAGGAAAAATTCACTAGCCTCGATTGATTATCGTTATGGGTTAATATTTCATACACTAATAATATATTATTTTTATATACTATCAATGAATAATATAAAAATATTTCATTAATAAATAAAATTTTATATTTTAAATCTTTAAAAATAAATATTAATAAAGATATGAGATGTGTCACTAATCTTTTTATAAATCTAAAAATGATAAAATAAAATCTGATGAGACGAAAATAAAAAAATTAAAATCAAATAAAAAGAATTAAAAAATAAAAAAATGGATAAATACAAAGAGAAATAATAAAAAGGAGAAAAATTTTAATTTTAATTAATTAATCAAGTGTGCTTCTTCCTTTTAGAATGGATCGGTCAAGCTCTCTTATCTTTCCAACTCGAAGCACACGACGATCAAGACGGCTTTGCCAGCTGCCTATGATAGTCAAAAGAAAACTGGATCAGATAGAATGTGCAAAAGTACCTTTTGCCTCGCTTTCGACAGTCCTTCGTTAGTCAATTTCGCGTCTATAACTACAAATAGGCTATAAAGCAAGAACTTATGACTGGATAGAACCCAAAATTTCAAAGGTGATTGTTGGCAAGGCAAGTAAGGACGCTAAGCCGGCGGTGTTCTGAATTGAATGGAATGAGCACCAGAGGGAACTCTCCAGTGAAAATGAATGCGAATTGCAAGACTTGGAATAGGCTCCGAAACGAAGCGGACGTATGAGAACGGAATCTTTTCAATTGAAAGAGAGTAGAGTTCAACCAACCTGTCTGTGTGCCTATGCCCTCGGGCAGAGACAGAGAGAAAGAGTAGAAAAGAAAGTATGCGGTAAATGCAAAGGGAGGTAACAAAGAATAAAAAAGTTATAATTTTAATTAATTAATTTTAAATAAATTTATTAATATTTACTTTTAAAAACTTAAAATTTTAAATTTTATTTATTAATTATGTGTTTTTATATTATTCATGATAATATATAAAAAATATATATTATCAGTATATGAAATATTAATTTTATTACTATGAATTGGATCAAAATTCTTGTCATTTCCAAAGTATGAGTAGTAATTGTACAGCTAAACACAGAAGTTTCTTTCATCTAATTATTAGTCAATTTAATTATTATTTGATTCATTTCATTCAATATAAGTAAGAAGAGTAATTCTAATAATTTTTTTTGGCTAAAAAGTAAAAAATTTTCAAAAAAATAATTATTTAAAATTTTATCAAATTATTACAATCATTTAAATGTTAAAAAATTATTTTTATTAATTAAATTTTTATTAAATAAAAATTATTTAATCCTCAATAATTATTTTCATTCAATTAAATTAAAAATAGATATTTAAAAATTTAGTTGAATAAAAATAAATATTTAAAAAATTTAAAATTTGATTAATTATAATAAAATATAAAAAGTTTAATTAATTATTAAATTTTTGCTTAATATTTTTTTAAAATAAAAATTATTTAATCCTCAATAATTATTTTCATTCAATTAAATTGAAAATAGATATTTAAAAATTTAGTTAAATAAAAATAAAAATTTTAAAAATTTAAAATTTGATTAATTATAATAAAATATAAAAAGTTTAATTAATTATTAAATTTTTGCTTAAGATTTTTTTTTAACCTTTTGGTTTTCTTCAAACATTATTATTATTATTATTATTTTGGTGGACAAAGGGAACATCTTTATATATTCTTCTCAGTTGTCACCGCAAGGGATCAGCAAACAACTGGAGACATCATCCCTTCAAAAAGAGCTGAACATGTTAAGTGTGTTTGTTTGTTCTCTGTTTTTTTCAAGTTGGGTTTTTTTCATCTCACTGTAAAAACAACTTGAATCTCCAACAAAATAATAAAGCCAGAGCCTTCATTTAAGACAGTAGACAACCCAGCAAGCATTTTTCTGAAACATTTTAATGACCCCGACGGCATTGCAGCTTGGCAAATAACAAATGAGGAGATGAGGACCACAGCCACCCATCCATCCGTCCATCATCCACTACTCCTTGGTCGGGAGCTGACAACTGTGCGTGAAAATGGAAAGCTACAGCACGTACTGTAGCTGTAGATAAAATCAGATCTCAAAGAGAAATTATTTGGTTTTTAACAGCTTTGGAAAGTCCTGTACTCTGAGTGGTCCCCGGATTATGTACATTGCTGTCTAATGTCTACTTTCCAGTACTGTTTCAATTCCTTTTCCTCCTGTTCCAAAACCCCAAGCCAGCCAGGCAATAAATATTTTTTACTCTAAATCCCAGGCTTGCACTATTAGCCTGTTTACTCTGTAATCAGCTATCTTCTGCAATCCCTTAAGCCTACAGCAAACCACCTCTTGCAGAAGATAAAATAAAGAAAGGCGCACCAGTACCCAATTAAACTCTATAGGACAAATCCCCAAGTTGCTTATGAATGCCACACACTTGGAGTACTTGCTGTCAAATCTGCTTTGAGAAGGAACAAGATGAAAATAAATTATTTCTAATACATCATCACACAAAACACAATTAGTGTTAACAAGAGACCATCCTCAGGAATAATCTTTGTTTTGTAGGTAGCCTATCAAGCATTACCATCCAGGCTAGAATGGCATGCCTTGGAATATGGTTCTTACAACCATATAAGCTTATGCCACTCCACTTTCCTCAATTCATGCCTGATCTCACCCCATGCTTTGGTTGCATTATATTTTTGGACAGAATGCATCAGGTAATCTCCCCAGTGCTTGATAAAATCTCCCCAGTGTGGACAGAAAGCTTTGTAACTTTTCCAGTTCACCCAAAGAAGCCAAACCAAACCAAACCATAGTTTGCAAAGTCTCCAGAGTGACAGAACTTTTTCCATTCAAATCCACAAAAAACTAACTGAAACCTCCCAGTTTCGAAAATGACGAAACCAACCCTGTGTTAAGGCTCACTGGCCAAGACCACGACACCCCCTCCTTCACTCCCTTCACCCCTCTCGCCTCTGCAACACCCTGCAGATGGAATAAACTACAAAAGAATTTCTGACAAAAGACGTTAACAAAACAATATGAGAGCTCCTTCCATACTAGTCATTAACACTCCTACTCATGGATGACATTTACTACTTTCCCACTTACTCTCATTTTCTCATCATCTTCAATTTCTATTCTATCTACTAAGCAATCCAAAAAGCTCAAACACCAAGACTGTAGTACATTTATTAATTCTTTTAGGCTTTGGGGTTTTTTTTAAATGATGTATCCCGCTTTTTACGCTAAGTCTTTCAAATTTCGTGAACATCGATGACTTTAGAGTTGGGACTTGCCCTATGTATTCCATCCTACAGGTGTGATAGCATTGTTTGTTTTTACTTGCATTTATGTTTATTTATATCTGGGCTATATATTTTTTATTGTTTTAGACTTTGATTTAGTTATGAAATTTGAATTATAGATTCTTGCACTTTGAATGGAGTTTTCTTTTATATAATGCAAAGCTCCAGGCTTTCTGTCTTTGTTTGTGGTCTAGGCAATGGTTCCCATGGTTTTGTGATTATTTTTTTGTTTGCTGTTCTTTGAGAAGGTTTCTATAATGTCAAAGATTTTTACTTTTCCTGTTTGCTTTGAATCAATTTGCAGGAAAAATGTACTGAAATTTTGAGTTTTGGTGTTCATTTACCATGCACATTTTAAAATGCTGAGAGTTCATATATCTCATGAAAATAACATGATTTTTTGCTCGTTTGTGTAGGATTTTTGTGGAATGTGCTCTGAAGAGCTAATCTGAAACATTTTGGTCTTTTTGTCGGTTTTACGAGCCTGGGTTTCTTCAGAGAGTGAAAGATACTGGTTTTAGTATGTTCAGTTTTTGTTTTGCTTTGAAGAATAATGGTTAATGGTTAATAAAATAACTCTATTGATCTTTTTTTGTTGTTCTAAATTTTCTTTCAGGTTGAGAATCCATGTCATATTACTAGCTAGATCCTGTGATGTGAGTTTATGATCAAGCAAAGAACGCCATTTTAATACTTCCATGCCATATCTTTGTTTATTATTTTGAAAACAATGGATGGGCGCAGACATTCTGTTGATACACCTATCTCAAGAACCCTTATAGCACTTAGGAGAGTGAGGTCATTAAGGGATCCTTCTACTAATTCTATGAGCAAATTCTCTTCTTCGTTTGACAACGTCAAGTGGGAAACTAGTTCAAGCAATGGGATTTCTCTGCAATTTGTAAATGGTTCCGCAGAAGTTCGCTCGGAGCATAATGAACTTCGAGGTCCGGAATGTTTAGGATTTGATGGACAAAGAGAGGATCAAGGTTATGATTTTCGGTTGGATTCTGTTCCAGAAAATTTTGGCTCTAAGTTGATCACATGTGAGAATGTGAAACAGGTAGGGAACACTGCTTCTTCTGTTAGGGCCAAGCAGGTAGGTGAGTTAGATAATTGTAATGGTGATTTTAAGGATCATGGGTTAAGCAAGGAAGAGGTCCATAGAAACAGACCATTGGGTGAAAGATATAATAGCAATTTTAAGGATAAAGGTATGAACTTGACATGCATGACACCTTCTTGTAATTATGTGGAGGATGTAGATTCATTTAATGGACCAACTTTAGGATCCTCACCAATGGGAAGAGTTAATCACTGTCGTTCAAAACAGAAATCTCAATCTAGAAATCAAGTGATGTTACATGGGGCAAATGATGATGTTGCAAATCGTAGTACCTCACTATATGTGGATGAAGATGTTGACCTTGCTGACCGCAACCGCCGTGGATGTGGAATAAGCTACTGTTGGTCAAAAACCCCAAGACTGAGAGAATCAAATCCTTCCTCTGATTTTGAAGACCTCCCTTTGTTGTCTGGGGATACGGGTGGGACAACTCTTTGTGGGCAGAGCTTCTGGAAATGTATTAATGGTGAAATTAATCTGCATTCAGACACTCCTAGAAGCTTGAGTCAAAAATTCAGGCCAAAATCTTTTGATGAATTGGTAGGACAAAGTGTTGTTGTGAGGTCCCTTTTGAGTGCCATTTCCAAAGGGAGGGTAACCTCTTTCTACCTTTTCCATGGTCCTCGTGGTACAGGCAAGACCTCTGCCTCAAGGATTTTTGCTGCTGCTTTGAATTGCCTCTCACAAGTGGAGCATAAGCCATGTGGCCGATGTAGAGAATGTATTTTGTTCTTTTCTGGAAGGAGCAGAGATATCAAGGAGGTTGATTCTTTGAGAATCAATTGCATGGATAGGTTAAGGTCCCTTGTTAAGAATGCGGGTGTCCCTCCAGTTTCTTCACGATTTAAGATTTTCATCATCGATGAGTGTCAGTTACTGCATGGTGAGACATGGGCAACTGTTTTAAACAGCCTAGAAAAACTTTCTCAGCACATTGTTTTTGTTATGAGCACTGCTGAACTTGATATGCTGCCAAGAAGTGCAGTTTCCCGGTCCCAAAAATATCACTTTCCAAAGATAAAAGATTCTGACATCTCAAACAGGTTGGAGAAAATCTGTGCCAAAGAAGGTCTTGACTATGATCAGGTTGCTTTAGACTTCATTGCTGCGAAATCGAATGGTTCACTAAGGGATGCAGAGATGATGCTTGATCAGTTGAGTTTACTTGGTAAAAAGATCACAATGTCCTTGACTTATGAGCTTGTGAGTGCTGTGAAATTTCTTTTTCTTATCTTTTGTAGTGCTTCTCTTTCTATCTAACCTGCTGAAATTTTGTTTTCTTTTCCGGGGGGAGGGGCAGATTGGAACTGTTTCTGATGATGAATTGCTTGATTTGCTGGATCTGGCTTTATCTTGTGACACTTCAAATACAGTCATAAGGGCTAGGGACCTAATGAGATCAAAAATTGATCCTATGCAACTTATATCTCAGCTGGCAAATCTCATTATGGACATTCTTGCGGGTAAATGTGAGGAAGGTTGTTCTGAAGCCAGAGCAAAGTTTTTTGGCAAGCATAGTTGTAAGTTCCACAAATGCATACAGTGCATTGTTATTTAATAATCCTTATTTTGCCTTCTAATATATGAATTTGGTAACAATGTGAAGTAATGCCTTAAAAGCATATGCCAACAAAATACAGGGTTGCTTCGAAATTATCTGACATGGAATAGCCAACTGTTTCAAAATTCAACTCTTTGCTCAATGTGGCTCACTGAGCATTGGATGTTGAAAAAGGGTGAAAACTAATTAAATGTACTTGATTGAGGAGATAATTCTAGTATCCTTGATAGAAGCATTCAGTCTTAGTGAATGCCATGTAATATTGGGATTCATGTCTTCTCTTCAGCTTTGCATCTGTAATTCTGTTATGATACTGTTAATTCATCTAGTGCATTCGGTTTAGATTAAATTACCTTCACAATTTGGTCTTCCTTGCTAATGACAAACAGTTTGAGACACTTTATATAAAATCTAAAACTTGTTTTGCAAAAGTGTGAAGTGAAGATTCTTGCACACCTATTTTTCCAGCCATCATGCAGAATGATATGTTCACAAGTTTGTGGAATGATCAAGTGTAAACAGTGACTGTTATGATTCTTATAATTAACAATTGCAAATTGTTGTGTCACAGCTGAAGCGGACTTACAGAAGTTGAGTCATGCGTTGAGAACGCTTTCTGAAACGGAGAAGCATTTGAGAGTGTCTAAGAATCAAACAACTTGGCTCACTGTTGCTCTTCTGCAACTAAGCTCTGTGGAATCTAATTTTCTGGAGGTGAATGATTCAAAATTGTGTTTGGCAAATGCTCAACACAAAGGTCAGCATGCTTATAATTTGTACTGATTGTATAGTAAGTTTCTTTCAAATTTAGTTTAATTATATAGAAGCTCTTGTATTAAGGTTTGTTCTTGTTTGGAAGCAGAAGGTGATTCCAACAGCACATCATCCACTGGGGAGAGGTCAAATCATCCTTTCACCTGTGTGTGTAATGGCAATAACTCCTCTAATTTGGGAAAACAAGGTTCTGAGAGATGGCTTGAATCTATATGGAAGAGAGCAACAGAATTATGCCAATCCAGTTCACTCAAGAAATTTCTGAGGAACCAAGGGAAGTTGTCTTCTCTTTCTGTTAATCAAGGTACATGGATCTGATTTTTGTTTTCAGCCAGTATCTAAGATAGATGCACATTACAAGCATTCAAATTTCTGAAATCCCTTATGTTGACATCTACCTATGATCAAATGGACCCTTTTTGTCTGTGTTTGATGCATGGATACGTCAACTGTTGAAATTAACTACTTGTCTCTTTATGCTGGATCTTTCCTTCGTTCATGATCTGTTGCTGTAGACACCCTTGATCATGCCTTATCTTGTTTGAGCATATTTTCAAGCCATTTACTTGTTTGTACTTGGCAGAAACTTTGTTGAATTGTCGCTACAAGAACTTTCCGGAAATTTTAGTTATCTTTGTTTAGTTTCTCTTATTAGTTCAATAAAAGGTGCAGTGCTTGCAGAATTGTCTACCAAGTTTTAAGTGCTTTTCTCTTAATCTTGTCAGTTGTGTACTCTTTGGTTTTGCTTTGTTTTCTGAAATTTGCATAGAGAATTTCCCTTCCATTCATTATCTCTTCTATGTGCTTTTCTTATGGTATATGATAGCTTTTCTCATTCCATTAATGATGATTGAGTATTTCTCTGAGTTCAGGTCTGGCTATTGCTGAACTAGAATTCGGCCATCCTAATCATGTAACTAGGGCCGAAAAGTCATGGAAACATATTGCAAGTTCACTTCAGTTGATAGTCGGCTGTAATGTGGAGATTCGGATTAATCTTTCTGTTACTGATCCAGTCTCCGAGTGTGCGAAAGTAAGGAAGCCATCTTTTAGTTTGTTTAGCTGTTCACGCAGGCTGCATCTGAAGTCAAGATCATCAACTAAAAGTGGAAGTGATTCTGAAGTTTCACAGTATGCCTCTGAAAAACCTATGATAAGTGACAGACCTATTTTAGCTTATAACTCTGATCACCGGTTTGAAACTCCTCATAACTGTTCACATGGAATGGAAGTGGTTAGGGCCTTCAGAAATAGTGAAGGAAACATACTGAGTACAGGAGCCACCCCGTCTTGTGGATCATTACGAGATGGTACATCTCGGACCCCTGCATGTATAGTTGGTTCTTCAAAAGGAGAAGGAAGGGACTGTGAATGCGAGATTCTTTCTGTTCAAGAGCCTGATTATCAGCCGAATTGTTTCCCTATAGCATTGAGGCCTCAGAAGAAGGTGCATTTGTCAAACAATACTAAAATGGTTTCTGCGAGTAACCAAGAAGAAAACAAACTTGCTGTATCTTTTCCCGGGGTGTCATCTTTTGAAAAATCCCTCCGTTCCAATGACTCGTATGTTTGCTGCTGCTCCGACAATGAGGATACGTAAGAAGTTACATAGAAACATTGCTGCATCAAAAGATGCATGATGGTATTATGTGAAGGCATGTATGACTGTTCACTCTTTTTGGCAGATTGAGGGAGAACTCTGAGATGCCATGCTGGAGAACACCAACATTTCCCTTAAAGAAGGTAATGACACTATCAATCTATGAGTTCCGAAAGTCGACACAAATTGATGTGTTGAATCTTCAATTTTGTGCCTAAAAAATGGACTAAAATCAAATATTACTGTTCTTTTTAATGTTTAATATCAAATACTACGATCTTACAGCATCTATAAGTTATTTATGGAGTCCTTTGATCCTATTTACTTGTCTATATTCCACTTCAAATGGTGCATTCTAACTCCATGAATACTACAGGTTTGGCAGCTGTCTCATCAACATCGCAGGTCACACTTGGTGTATTGGGTTCTTCCTTGCTTTTCTGCCAAGTAGATCTCTGCCATGTATGGCATGGGAGCAAGTTTGTAGAGGATTCTTAAAAGCTTCGAAGTACTAATGTCTTGCAGATTTTTGTATAGAAAACAAAATCTTGGTCGTACATGTTAGAAGGGAGCATGGACAGAGCAGTCCTATGTATAGCCGCAAACAATTATGTCGGCTGTCCTGTCTCATGCTATGCTGATGCACCATTGATTAAGTTCAAAAGCCAGTTTTATTCCATGAAGGTGATTTCACATTCGTAAAAAGATGAATTTGTTCTTTTTTAACCTTTTGATAGGGATTTGTCCATTGGGATTATTGCCGATTGCTAACTGATTATGAAAGAAGAATTACTTGCTTACGGTTCAATATGCTCTCCTCGTCAACCACCTAGGCGGTTGTTTTGTTATATTCGATTTTAATAGTTCATGAGTTTAATTAAAATTTTAAATTTTAAAATATTTTTATTATTTTGATTAAAAACTTATTATTTTATCTTTTTATATGTTAATTTGAATTCAAATTTGAATTTAAACACATAATTAAGATTGAAATTAAATATAAACATTGAATTTATTTTGATTAAATGAGTCAAATCAAATAAATTTAAATAATTTGATTTTTATTTTAAATTGAATTTAAACTTAAAAATTAAATTTTAATTAAATATAAATTGAATTTTAAAAAATAAATTTTAAATTGAATAAATTTAAAATTTTTAGTATATCAACTCGATTATACTGCATTTTAATTCGGACGCTCTATTTTTTCCCATACAATAAAACAAGAATCGACAAAAAGCAAAAATAAAAAACTCAATAAAAAAAAAAAAAAACCGGCATTTTAGGACATTCAAGTCGGTTTCCCTCTAACCCTAATCCAAACCGGTTGTTGTTAACCCGCACCGGGTGTAAGCAAAAGATGGCGAACCTTTAGTGTATGCTTTGTAGAAACGATGCCACGTGGATCAAAAAGCGATATCCTTCTTTCATGACCTGTAACCGTAACCCTAGCGTCTCTTTCTCTACCTACTATATATATATATATATATATATATATATAGTACCTTGGCCTGTTGTTTGTTAGCTCTCATCTCATCTATTTCCTTTCTCTCAACAGATTTTTTGACCCGAAACTTGGATCCAACTCATTGCCTTGAGCCCGACCCTTTTTCTTTGATATAGGGCTCTCATTTTGGATCTTTTACTTCTTTTTCCCTCGCCGGTATTTAGGGGGACTGGAACTTGAGCTCCGACTAAGAGATCCGATTTACTTCTGTCTTGGCTTAAGATCCAGGCCACGAACAGAAGGATCGGATTCGGATTCTCACTTTATTTTTCTGTATTCAATTTTTACACAAGAAAACTGGTATTTTTGCTCATTTCTCTAGTATTTCTTTTGTTAGATTTTGTTGTAGTGGTCATGTTTGGTTGCCGGGAAAGTGGTGGGACAATGGTGAGAAAATGAAGGAATACAGAGTGCTGAATGTAACCGTTACGGGTGTAATAAAAGACCTATTTATCTTACTTTTAGTCGATGAGATTTCATTGCATTTAACAGTTATTTCTTCGTTCACTCTTTCACTGCTCATCAAGATTGTTTAATTAATTGTTTATTCGAATCAAATATTTGTTCTTGCGAAAACAGTGTGATCTAAAACAAAGTAAATTCTTTCTTTTTGTTAATGCTAAATATAGAATTGTTGGAGAGAAAATGGCGTCAAGTGAGGGGTTTCTTACGGATGAACAAAGGGAAATGCTGAAAATAGCGAGTCAAAATGTGGAGACTGCTTTACCATCCCCAAGATTGTTGTCATTGTCCCCGAAATCCCCCACTTTTCTTTCTGATCATCAATTAAAGGTTCCTGCTTGTGGGAAGGTGCCAACTGGTGGTATTGCAGTGAGGCATGTCCGTCGGTCACACTCTGGGAAGTTCGTTCGTGTAAAGAAGGGTGAGACTTCTGACTACTTTGGGTACTTGTTGATAGTTTTTTTTCTTTGATTTGTTTTATAACTTGGTAGCCCTGCTGATGCTATTACGTTTCGTCTGCATTTCATCATTATTTGCATATTTATTTTGGATGACATTTTTGTATTGTATTCGTGGGATGAGTTGAATTCAAATCACTATATTGTATGCTAGCTGATTTTCTTAAACGAAGTAGGGTTTGAGAACAGGGTAAGATCGAGGCAGAGTTTCTTAGGTACCCTAAAACCATGTTTAAAAGTTGACTACACATTGTCAATGTGTTGCATGCCCATTTCTATAGCCTTAGTAGCCAGTTAGGAGTTTATTATTTCAAAGTCAGTTAAGTTAGTTAATCATAAATTCTATTTTGGATTAGTTATGTATAACGGGAGATTAGTTATGAATATGCTGAATCACTGTCGTTGGAGGATTTTAAGGAGAATGGTAGCGATTGTATTCACATCATAATTATTGAATGAAAAACAAACTTCTGTCTCTCTTCTCTCTAAACATTCTCTGTTTTCATTCTTTCATCATTCTCTGACTATACCACAATGTTACTTTAAACCTATAATTATGATCTCATGATCTTAAAAGATTTATTATTACTGGTGGATTCTGCCTCATTCATTTTATTTGTGGGTTCATATGCAATATACTTAGCTTGCTGAGCAAATCATTCAGAATGTTTCCTATTATATTGCTTACTATCTTTTTGTTGCCCACGTGGGCTTTTAGCTTAACAAATTGGGGCTTAAACAAGATGAAAATAGTTTAGTGCAGTTTCAAATTTTGTTTGTTATTTTAGTGTGTTGTGTCTGAAGGTACATATTGCAGTTAAAAGAATTTTATATTGCATTCTATTATACCATGAATTGCTTTGTTCTCTGCTTGTAATTCATATAAGCTTAATGGTAAGCTGGTACCATTATGTTGTGGGATCAGTTTGGGGATATTTGATACTTATGCATTGGACCTCAAGGTCATGGTTTAGAAAGTTCTGTGAGGATAGTGGTACTTCCTATGAGGAGAATATCCTAAAATCGTGTTCGATAGGAAAGAAAAAGGAGGGAAGGGCAAAAAGTGAAGATGGGAAAATAGAAGATGGAAGGACATCATGGAAATTTATTTTTCCTTTCTCATGTTTGTTACAAGTTATGGATAATGAAAGGGAACAGAAGTTGAGGGTAAAATCATAAATCAACAATTGTTTTCACTCCCATATCTGATGGATTGGATTTTGAGGGAATAGAAAGGTACAAATCCATCCATTTTCCTTCTCTTCCTACCAAATGAATGAAAGGATAGGGGGAAACCCATCTTCTTTCCACTCCTTTCCTTCCTTTCGTTTCCCTCCTACCGAAAACAGTGTAAAGGATCATTCTTTTTTATACTTGAGCTCTGGTTGAATATTCGGTGCATTTTCATGCAAAGCAATTATCAATTTGAATTATAACATGGATATAAATACATACTGGTGTCCTCGGAATCTATTATATTTGTCTATATAATTTATGTTGTTTGACATAGTGTTAATACCATACAAGTCATGGAAGAAGTCAAGTCCTACTTATTTCTCAACACAAGAGCTGGTGAGTAATTGTAGAGTAGATACTGAATTGATCGTGCTGCGGTGCTGGTCGAATAAAAAATGACCAGCCACTCAAAATTTGCTCAAATAGGAACAAACGAAAGTTTTCATTTGATCCTTTGTTCCTAATATAACTATATAATTGCTGGTCGAATAAAAAATGATCAGCCATTTCAAATGTGCTCAGGAAAGTTTTCATTTGATCCTCTATTCTTAATATAAGTATATAATCTTCGACCAATATCATCGAATTACTAAGTACTGATTTACCCATTGCTTAGTAATTTTTTGAGGTTTGCTGACTTTGCACGATGATAGATTTGTAGATTTTTTAATTTACTTTTTTTTTTCTTTATTTTTTAATGAGATGGGAGGATCATAATACTGTAATGCTTGCCTTAGAACCCTGTTAACTTTTAATAGATATAAGATGGAGTGGAGAAGTTGGCTGATTTTTGGTCTGTTAACTTTTAATAGATATAAGATGGAGTGTAGAGGTTGGCTGATTTTTGGTTTGAGTTCTTTTATGGTTGTTCTTTTGCTTTAGATTGGTCACAGCATTTGATTCTAATTTTTTATTCATGTTTTAGTTGCTTTTTATATATTGATGCCCCTGTCATATTTCTGAATTACATGCTTAGTAGGAATTTGTGAGCCTCAAGTTGCAACTCACAGTGTACATGTATGGTATTATTAATACACTCAATAGGTTATGCATAAACCTATTCCAAGGATAATTGATAAATTAAAGTGATCATTTATCATTTATTTTCTGTGCTTCTGCCAGTTTTGGGCTTAATATTGGTGCTTTATTTGCATCTGCATTTTCGTCAAGAAACTTATCTTGAGATGTGAGAGATTGCACTGTGGAGTTGTTCTCTGTTTTTGTCTTACTGATTAGTGGTTGTCCTCCTTAATAATATGATAAACAGATGGTGCTGGTGGTAAGGGCACATGGGGGAAACTGCTTGATACTGATGGGGAATCACATATTGATCGAAATGATCCTAACTATGACAGTGGAGAGGTTTGTGCCTTTTGGTCTCTTTGATCTTTTGCATACTTGCATTTTGCATTTATTTTTCTGGTAAAACAAATTGTTGTTTATAAAGTTTTTCAACGCTGCTTGTATCTGCCATCACAGTCATTTGTTAATAAATTTTGATGACGCTTAATTTCTTTAACCTTGCCTTTGCCAGGAACCATATCAACTTGTTGCGTCAACTGTTTCTGATCCCCTAGATGAGTACAAAAAAGCTATTGTTTCAATTATAGAAGAATATTTTAGCACTAGTGATGTGGAATTGGCAGCTTCTGACCTCAATGATCTTGGCTCAAGCGAATATCATCCTTATTTTATTAAGAGACTCGTGTCCATGGCTATGGACAGACATGATAAAGAGAAGGAAATGGCCTCGGTTCTGCTTTCTGCACTATATGCTGATGTCATCAGCCCACCCCAGATTAGGGATGGGTTTGTCATGCTTCTCGAGTCTGCTGATGACCTGGCTGTGGACGTACTGGATGCAGTCGATATCCTTGCTCTGTTCCTTGCTCGTGCTGTGGTTGATGAGATACTACCTCCGGCTTTTCTCACAAGGGCAAAGAAGACACTTCCTGAATCTTCCAAGGGATATCAGGTTCTCCAAACTGCTGAGAAGAGCCATCTCTCAGCTCCTCACCATGCAGAACTTCTGGAGAGGAGGTGGGGTGGTAGCACTCATGTCACAGTTGAGGAAATGAAGAAAAAGATTGCTAATCTTTTAAGGGAGTATGTGGAGAGTGGTGATTCATTTGAGGCCTGTAGCTGTATAAGGGAATTAGGTGTTTCATTTTTTCATCACGAGGTTGTTAAGAGGGCTTTGGTTCTTGCCATGGAAATCCAAACAGCTGAACCACTTATGCTGAAACTCTTAAAGGAAGCAGCTGAGGAAGGGTTGATAAGCTCGAGTCAAATGGTGAAGGGGTTTGCTCGGTTAGCAGAGAGTCTTGACGATCTCGCCCTTGACATTCCGTCTGTGAAAACCTTGTTTCAATCGATTGTCCCCAAGGCTATCTCTGAAGGATGGCTTGATGCATCATTCACAAACTCCTCCTATGAAGATGGAGAAGCTCAAAATGAAGACAAAAAATTAAGGCAGTACAGGAAGGAGATTGTAACTATAATTCATGAGTATTTTCTCTCAGATGATATTCCTGAACTCATCCGGAGTCTTGAAGATCTAGGGTTGCCTGAATTCAATCCAGTTTTCCTAAAAAAGCTTGTTACTCTTGCCTTGGACAGGAAAAACAGGGAGAAAGAAATGGCATCTGTTTCGCTCTCTGCTCTTCACATTGAGATCTTTTCAACCGAAGATATAATGAATGGCTTTGTCATGCTTCTGGAGTCTGCAGAAGACACGGCCTTGGATATTCTAGATGCTTCCAATGAGCTTGCTTTTTTCTTGGCGAGGGCTGTCATTGATGATGTGTTGGTTCCATTGAATCTTGAAGAGATTGCCAGCAAGTTGCCATCAAATTGCAGTGGAAGTGAGACTGTCCGGATGGCTCGATCACTGATAACTGCACGCCATGCTGCTGAGAGGATCCTCAGATGCTGGGGAGGTGGAACTGGCTGGGCCGTGGAGGATGCAAAGGACAAGATAGTGAAGCTCCTGGAGGAGTATGAAAGTGGGGGTGTCGTGGCTGAAGCTTGCCAGTGTATCCGGGACCTCGGAATGCTATTCTTCAACCATGAGGTGGTGAAGAAAGCACTGGTGATGGCCATGGAGAAGAAAAATGATAGGATGCTGGATCTGCTGCAGGTATGTTTCAATGAAGGGTTGATCACCATCAATCAAATGACCAAAGGCTTCACCAGGGTCAGGGATGGGCTTGATGACCTTGCTCTTGACATTCCAAATGCAAAAGATAAATTCAGTTTCTATATGGAGTATGCCCAGAAGAGGGGGTGGCTTCTGCCATCCTTTGGGTCATCTGCAGTGGAAGCCCTGCCCACTGCTGCAGCCTCTTGAACCAGGGGTGGATGGCTATGAGATGTCTGGATCCCTTCCGATGTTTTCTTATTTTTGTGGTCATCTGATGGAGATTGTTATGATCCCAGCTCAGGTATTCATCGTATATAGTCAATTCTTTCTTCTGTATTGAAATGGCTATAGCCCATGACGCAACGAGTAGCATGTCCGTTAGGGATGATGCGACGCCTGCTGTTTCTTGAATTGGACTTATACAGTTAGCCGATTTAAATTAGAATAGGGGCAATTGGGCTTGTCTTGGACTCTGGAGTTTAAGACTTTGGAGAAAATTGGGTTTTAGGGTTAGCCAATTTGAAGAGAATAGGTTTCCGTTTCTCACGTCGCTTTAACTTTCTTTTTTTTTTTTGTTGAATTTTATTTAACATTAATACTTAACTGGTTTTTAATTTTAATTTTTATTGTTTCGTACTGATATATTTTTTTAATTATTTGATTAGTTTTTTATTTCCAAAAAATTCATTAATAAAAAATATATGAACATATATCTTATTAATTTCAAATAATTATGAAATTAAAATTTATTTATATAATAACATGAGATTTATTTACTCATAAACTCTAATTAATTATACCTTATTTGATAAATCAATTGGTTTAAGAATTATTTAAAATTTTATTAAAAAATTTTATTTTATTAATAATTTAATATAAAATTAATGTTTTGAATGATTTATAAATTATAATGAAATATTTAATATAATATTAAAATCTTTATTGTTGTAATTGAGTTATAAATTTATTAATTAATATATTACTTAAAAAGTTTATTTGATATACATCGTCGTTAGGAGTTGATAACAAATATTTTATATCATATAAAAAATTAATTAATTATAATAAATTAAAATATAACTGAATAAATTTAACATAAATATGAGTCGAAATTACATATTGTGAAATTTAAATTTGAAATCTCAAGATTTCAAGATATTTACATATTTTTTGTATTAAAACCTGATTTACTCGAATTTAAGGAGAAACATGCTTCATTAGATTTTAAAAAAAAAAAAAACCTTCAAAAAATACTAGCATTTTCATTTTACTTAAATAATCCACAAAACATTGGTTAGCAAAAATGTCAAAGTCGAATGAAGGATCAGCAATCATTTTCAGTTTATGAAGCTATTAAAGTATAAATGCCCAACTTATTATATTTGTTTTTGTACATTACAACCTACAAGTCAACGCAAAAATGGAAAAAGCACACCAAATTGGGATCTCATGCACAACGGTTGATAGCGAAAAGTCAACTAATATGAATTTTTTTTTTGTATTTTTATAACAATAAGTAATGCCAAGAATTATTTTTAAATTATATTAAAATATTTAATTTGATATTTTAATTTTTAAAATTTTAATATAATATTTAAATTATAAATTTATTAATTAATTTGATATTTTGATAATTATTTATTTATCACGTATTATCATTTAAAATTACATATATTAATAAATATTATATTAATTAATAAATTTATAATTTAAATATCATATTAGATATTTTTAAAATTAAAATATCATATTAAATATTTTATTATAATTTACAAATCATTTATGCCATTAAATTTGATAACAAATAAAAATTCTTTGCTCTATTGTTGATGAATTATTATTTTATACATTAATAATAAAATTTTTAAAATTTCTAAACAAAGTTAAAAAGTTCCAACTTATTCATTTTAATAATTAATAATTTTTAATTTTTTATAAATATATCAACAAATTTAAATTTAATACATTTATTATTATTTATGGATGGAAAGTCAATTGTAAAATTAAGAATAATAGTACTTATTATATATATATATATATAACATAAGAAAGTTATATGTCACATCACAACTGCCTATGTTATTATTTTATGAAAGAGCTGCTTATGTTATTCTTCTTGATTCATTTTCAAATCATTAACTTATATCATAAATTTTTCAAAAAAGTTTTTGATTGGGTATTAGTATAAGTTTAACAATTTTTAAATTTTATAAAATAAGATTAAAAATAAATAAATAAATTTTATTATTTAATATATTTAAAAATATGTATAATTTTTTATTATAAAATATTTATTTATTTATGTCGGTGTGTGAGATGTCTTTTCTTTAATTCAAGGCTTTGTATTATTAATCATATTATATATAATATTATATTATAATAAACATAAAATTTTGATAAAAATTGTTTATGTAGATATTTAGATGGATAATTTATATTATTAATATGTAAAATAATTTTAAAATAATTTTATCTAATTATTTATTTAATTTTTAAAAATTTTAAATTTATATTTATCAAAATCTTTTAAAATATATAAAATTAACCCTAATTTAAACTTAAACATTAATTAAATTAAAATTTTAAATTATAAAAATATAATAAAAAAATTCATATATGGCATAGGTAAAAAAAAAAAAAAAAAACTAGTTATTACTAATTTATAATTAGGTCAATGTCAGAGCCATCGGATAATATAAAAAAAAAAATCAAAAGAGAAAACGGTTATACGATGGCCTATCAGTTTTCAAGCAAGGCAGCCAATCATTTTATGACACGTAAATCTGTTCAATTTGAGGGAGCCCAATCATAAAATCTCATGCTGTTGATTTTCTTGTTGGGTTACTTTTGACCATTGTCAAGTTAAAATCAAAGTAAAACACATAATTATCTTCAAATTACAGAGCTTATATAATAATAAATTTTAAAATTTTAATAAAATTATATATAAATTAATAAAATAAAAAATATATTTTATATTTTTATGACTATATATATTATAAAATATATTATAACACATAATTTTTATATAAAATATAATATAAATATAAAAATTTTAATATTTTATTCCAATATTTAAATTGTCAGGTTTAATAAAACCCTCTGGTCACGTGACTACCGCGCTTCCCATTCCCATGGTTTGCTTGGCTGCCCCATGCTCTGCCCTCGGTAAATTTTCACCAATCCCTCTGTAAACTACACAAAGAAAAACAGAGGAAAAAAAGGAAACCCCTTTTCTTAGAATATAAAAACAAAGGAAATGGACGCTTTAAAACTTTATTCTTTGTTTTTTTGTTCTTCATAAAATGAAGTCTCAATGATTACCCAATTCTTACCTAGAAAAATTTACTCTTCTTTTCATGGCTGGTTCAAGTCTTTCACCAGAGCCAAGTCAAGAAGTGTTTTCATGGCTGAAATCTCTGCCTTTAGCTCCAGAATACAGGCCTACTTTGGCAGAGTTTCAAGATCCAATTGCCTACATTTTCAAGATCGAAAAAGAGGCTTCCCTGTATGGAATCTGCAAAATCATACCTCCGGTACCAGCTGCTCCTAAAAAGACAGCAATTGGGAACCTCAATCGTTCCCTTTTGGCTCGTGCTACAGCTAATGCTAGCTCGGATTTGAAGCTGGCGGCACCCACATTCACTACCCGGCAACAGCAGATCGGCTTTTGCCCCAGGAAGCCTCGGCCTGTTCAGAAACCGGTCTGGCAGAGTGGGGACTACTACACTTTCCAAGAATTCGAAGAAAAAGCGAAGAGATTCGAAAGGAATTACTTGAAACGATACAGCAAAAAGGTTTCCCTTTCAGCTTTAGAAGTCGAAACCCTTTTCTGGAAAGCAACGGTTGACAAACCCTCTTCAGTTGAGTATGCTAACGACATGCCTGGTTCAGCTTTTGGGCCATTGAACTCAAAGAAGAGCAGCGGAGCAGGGAGAGAAGCAGGGGAGGGCGTTACAGTGGGGGAGACGCCGTGGAATATGAGGGCGGTTTCGAGGGCAAAAGGTTCATTGTTAAGGTTCATGAAAGAGGAGATCCCGGGAGTTACTTCCCCTATGGTGTACTTTGCAATGTTGTTCAGTTGGTTCGCTTGGCATGCGGAGGATCACGACTTGCATAGCTTGAGTTATTTGCACGTGGGAGCTGGAAAGACATGGTACGGTGTTCCCAGGAATGCTGCGGTTGCTTTCGAGGAGGTGGTCAGGGTTGATGGCTATGGAGGAGAGTTCAATCCTCTTGGTGAGTTTACTGAACTATTACTTGTGTCTCCTCTGTTTCTTTGTTAACTATTACATGATAGCATTGTTGAGATTGACTCGTTTGAGCAAAGGAAGAATAAACTTAATAGACCAGGTGGTGGAATTCGACATTTTTGACTGTTGACAATAGAGCTTCTTTTCAAGGACTGTTAGTTATCTTTTGGCATTGTAGTTAGTGAGCGTACTCTGTTCCTCGCCTATACTATTTTTGTTAGCTCGAATTATGTTGGAAGTCGCTGCGGGATAATGTTAATCATATGATGTTAAGTTTAATCACTAGTTATCTTTATAATAAGTAGTTATCATTTTCTCTCTGATGCTCTGCTGATTTTAGGTCTTGGGCTTGAAGGATTCTAGATTTTGAGTTTCAAGCAACTGGAGTATTATCTTAGAGATTCCCCTTCCTTCATCTAATAAGAGAACTCTCGTCTTCTATGTCCTTTCTGGGAGTTGTGGGTATGGAGTAGTTATGAGAAAGACTAGTGTTACTTGATCTTGTGGTTGCTCATTCCATCGATATTTGGGACAAGACTTAGATGAAGTTCCTTAGGTGCATTTGTGAAGGTTTTTTCTTTCAAAACGATCACATAAAAATTAAAATCGAAAATCTAAACAGATAGTTTGAAAGGTCTTGTTACATAAATCAAGTGTACAAAAGTTGAAAAAATTTTAATAAATTTTGATATATTTTTTAGATAGATAATTTTAATAAAAAATTTAATAAAATTTTCACTGTTGAATAAGTACCAGTAAAATTTTGATTATAAATGGTATTTTTAATAACTGTTTTTACATATTATTGATCTTTTCATTTAACTCTACCAATTTATAAGTTTTGATTTTCAATTTTAATTTTTAATTTTTATACGATCATTTTTAATAGAAAATTTCACGAACTTTACCTAAAAAACTTCATCTAAGTTTTGCCTCGATATCTGCCATGAAAATTTTCCTTAAAAAGTATTTTGTTAGAGTAGTGAAGAACAGAGGATATGGCATATAGTTATCTTATAGATTTATATGTATCTTCATGTCATTGTGCTTGTGCAAGTATTTTGTATATTATTTCCTGTCCCCTTGTACATGTGTTCTGTTTCCTTTTGAAGCTGGAGCACCTGCAAAGCAATTAGGTTAAAGACTTGAGAGTGTGGCTCATGATTAAAATATCACTTATTGTCTTTCTAGTTTATCAATGATTTTTGACTTGCCATTTTGGATCACGTTAATTTTATTCCATGAAGTTTCTGTGAGTTGATCTTGTTTTAATTTAACTAGAAAAGCTATTTAATCCATCATGTTTACGTGATGCTACTGTTATTATATCTTTTCCCAAACATGCCAA